CCACAAGCAGAACATAAGCACAATGACACTCTCCTGCTTGTACTTCTTCAGTTCCTTCCTTCCTGAAAATGTCCATTCCTGCATGAGAATCTGCCCTACATTTTCTGCAGTGAGGACTGATGTAATCTCTCTAATCTCCTTTAGAACAATTTTCACACCCTTTGGATTCAACAGTTCAACTGCTTCCTTATCCAGTTTCCTGCCTCTGATGTATTAGGATTTTTTTTTATTGTTGGTCTTTAGCAATACACTCTTCATTCATATATATATATATTTGCCTTCATCATTGCCTTCTTGCATTTCTTTAATACAAATCTGCGTTCCTTTTTGTTTTCCTCAATTGGGCAATCATTTAGGCTTGTTAAGCAAGGAGATGAGATGGGAACCTCCTTGACTTGATGGGACCTGTCACGATCTGTGATGTACATTTTAGCAGAGCATCTAATATGGTGGTTTTGAGTAACTGCAGGTGTTCTAGAGAGATTTAAATAAATAATATCTAAATAAGTATGTTCAATTTCCTTTTCAGCTTCCTTTTCACCAATCCCCTTACTTCTTCCCACTTTACTATAAGTTAAATTTGATACCACTGTAGTCACTGTTTCTAATTTGTGCCATTTAAGATTAAGTCCGGGGTCAGTATCCTTGTGGTCAGTTCCATGAGCAACAAATCCAGGGTTTAGTCATTTAAGAAACATATGGGGAACCTATGCCCTGTTGCTGGACTACAGCTCACATCACCCCCTAGCACTGGATATGCTGAAGTGCTATGAAGTGCTATGGATTGAAGCTGATGGAAGTTGGGAGTTCAGCAACCTCTGAAGAGCCACAGGTTTTCCACCCTTGATTTTGAGTCCCTAGAAATTTTACCTCTTTGTCACAACTGTAATATGCATTTACTCAAATCTGTGTGAAGGTAATTGAAATCTCCCATTACTCTCGACACCTCCTTTGAATGCCTCGTTGACTTCATTCTGCATCTCAAGATCACTACTTTTATATGTGCAGAAAGCTCCTTTTAATATAAACCTGTTGTCGAAAATGTTATGGTTCAGCAATAGATATCTTACATAAGGTTGCTGATTGACTGCAGTCTGACAGTGCATGTGCAGCGTGCCTGGAACGCTCTACAAAAAAATAGTAATCATGCTGATGAGTTGGCAGAATTAAATCCAACTCCCTCTCCCAAACAGCTGATAGATATGGCTACTGGTTTTTAAAGAGGGTTCTGTGTGTGCCGGTAATTGCATTGGAAAGTAGAAACCCAAGTACATTGCCTATTAGCACACACTGTTCTTGTTGCTGCTAGGGATACATACATGCATGGAAAAAAGTTTCCCTATACGTCTGGCAACTAAGTGGATCAGAGCTTATATATTTTACATTTGAAGCTGTGATAAATTATCAATAATATGTCATGATATCTTCAAAATATTAACATTTCAAACATTAACCTGGATAGAGAAAGAATTTCTACAGATACGTAAAGAAACTGATCTGGCTACAGTTAACAAATACTGTACTGTACTTCCATCGTCTAATTTTGTACAGAATTAAGACAGATAATACTTTATGTTAGTAATTTTATTCTGATTACTATAACTTACTTGTTAGAGGCTTACAAGGCCTTTATGTGCATAGAGTCGGTCAAAGAATGCAATTTGTAATGTGAGGAACAACGAAGAAAAATTAATGCAGAAAAGCTTTGTAAATAGTATTGTATTGTAGAGGCCAAATGTAAACCTGGAACTGAGCCTCAATAACTTTATCAATCTACCCCATATTTTCAAAAAACATGCTTAAAACAGAATATAAATGGTTAGAATGCACAATACTCACATTTCAAAGGAGAATTAAAATGATTTAAATAAGTTTACATTTTTTTAAATCAGTCTACTCTTGTAGAACTGATACTTGGCAGAACCATCCATATATTAATAACAGAAAGATGAAATGTGTATTAGTTTCATTGAAACAAATGTTACTTTTACAAGACCCATGGCTTTGTGATTTGTGACCAAACAAGCTATATATACAGTGTCTCTACATTGTTTAAAAAACAGACCATGGAATATAACAATATTGAACTTTCCTGCTCTTTACTCTTCACCACCCCACCACCTTACGTAATATTTGAATTTACTTACTAGAATTACGAAAAATTTCTAGTATTTCTTAAGTCCTTATATGACAATGGCAGTATCTTTAAAGGAGAAAATCTTCAAACATTTACTCAGTTAGATAAGCCCTCTTAACTGTCTCTTGATGCCAAACATTTCATTCTGTATAATTGTTCAGTTGATAAACAATGACAATGAACCAAACCACTGCTTAATTTCTTAGGGGAGAGGAATACTGATACCAAGAATTTCCTGGAAGGCTTGTCCTTGAAATCTTTCTGCTAAAGCAGCATCTTGGAACTAACTTTGAGAGGGAGTAGTACTTTATTATTGGAATTCTTACAAAAATCTGCAAGGCCCACATTCCCTCAGTTCAAATTGGGGTTTTAATTCTCTGCTACAGCTGTAGATGAATTCCATTCCCCCCCCCCGTATTTTTTAGTGGATTGGGGAGATTCATTCTTTTGATCCCATTTTAGACATAGAGTTAAAACCAGTGCATAAGGGTGTTGAAAAGGTCCAAAAGAACCCTAGACTTTCCTGAGGCTTTCAGCTGGTGCATGCTCAGAAACTGAGGTCTGTGTACCTGTTGCCTCTGTGCTGGTGTGGAAGATGTCCTCCAAACCCCATAAATGACTGTAGGATGGTGAGGGCAGTAGGAATGGACAGTGAAGCGCTCTTAGAAACCTCTGTGTGTTTAGTGCTTTTTTCTAGTGATACTCAATGGTATCACAGTACTGGCACAATTCCCCACCCCCCAGCAAATCTTGCAATAAGATAATTGGACGGTGGAGAGCGCATGCAAGCAACCGTGGCTAAAAGGGAGATTGTGAAAAGCAGGAGGCTGAGGCAGTGGTGAGGAAAAGGATGCCCTTGTTTGGTGCTGCAGTTGCTGATCTTAGTCAATAGGTTGCACCGTCCCCCCTCGGCTGCCCCACAATGCATGCTCTCCCCTTGAAGGTGCTGCTATGCTGCTGCCTCACTGCGCCACAAGTGGCTGGGTGAGCACAAGGCCTGCTTCCCTTTTGTCTCTGCTCTTTCCATGACTGCAAGAGGGAGGGAGGGAGAAAGAAAGAAAGGAAGGAAGGAAGGAAGGAAGGAAGGAAGGAAGGGGAGGAGGCAGCAACCTCTGCTGCTAGCCATGCTGTCCTCCATGCTGTGTCATAGGGGAAAGCACAAATGGTGTGGCTGGTGGCTGGGAGGAGTGGAAGGAAGGAGAAGGGAGGGCAGGATGCTGGGTGGGTGTGAAGAGCAGAGGGGGTTAAGTTGGGGAGGAAGTTGAAGAAGGGGAAGGGGTGTGCAAAGTGGGGCTTTAATTAATTGAGGGGGGCAGGAGAAAGTGTGTGTGAGAGAGAAAAGAGTGTGAAGAGGATCATGATGAGTACCAGCAACCTTTTTCCTAGGGGAAAAGAAAGTACTGCTCGATATGTGCCTGATGGCATCATTGAGGTTATGTGATATCATTGGCATCATTGAGGTTATGTGAGGGTGACTCACTTATGTAACTGGTTTTCCTATACCAAATCTGATCTATGGATCCACCTAGGTGAGTGTTTGTATTTTCCATTGAAAATAACGGAATGTGTTTCCCATTGATAATAATGGAAGTTGTAGTCTGGTAGCACTTTAAAAGCTAAAGAATGAGGCAGGCCATAAGAAGAGATATGAATACCAGAATTTCTCCATTTAATAAAATCTCCTTCATTCTTTTTCCAACCATTGCCAGCCAGATGCCTCTGGATGCTGACAAGTAGGGAGTGAAAGCTTAAATAATGCTCTCAGAACTTGATTTGTGAGCTTTTAATGATTAAGTATAAATGATGCAGTAATCTGGAATTTGGCAGGGGAAATCATTGAGATATCCCAAATAAAAATTAGGGGAGTCTTTGGGTAATGTCTTGGGAATGGCAAGGCAAGAATCTGGGTGAAACTGAAACCAGAGGTGGGCTGGGTTAGGATGGGGGGGCAGAAGAAATTCAGGTTACTTAACAATTGATTGAGAACATGTGGCTCTCAACATTTAAAAAGGGTTACCAACCCTGTTTTAAAGTTGTATCGCACTTCAGAAACATACTGTCAACCAGTGCTATTTATGTAAGAGCCACATCACATGCTCTGACTGCCCTGCTCCACCAACATCTGAGCAGCCACATTTTGTTCCAGTTAACATTTCTGGATCCTTTTAAAATGCAGATCACATTCGTCTAATAAAACACATTACAGTAGTCTAGTCTGGATGTCACTAGTGCATGGGTAACCAAGGGCATAGCCACACTTCCGTTTGTCTTGTGATTTCAAGTCATGGGTCCAAGAGGTTCTTTTGTCCTGCCGCTTTTCCTGGGAAAACTCGTTGTTTACTGCTGAATCTGAACAGACATCAATGTGTATACACCCTGATTGATGTTTATTCAGATTCTGCAGTGGCTTTGCAACAGGACAAAAAAAACACCCCACCACCTCTCAGCCCGTGACTTGAAAGTACGTGACAAATGGAAATGTGGATGAGCCCCCAGTTTAGATCTGCCTTCTCTAGATAGCTTGCAGTATGGTAAAATGCACTCCTCGGTAATGCTTTCACAGATAGTGCCAAGACTGGTAGCACACATCCATCCAGATACATCAGGATTCTTGCCCATAGTGCTATCAGCTTGTCTGGATTATCATAAGCTTGTTTTCTCTCACCCAGAACAAAACTACCTTCAGATACCAGTTCATTAAATCCAAAGCGTCCTGGGATATAAGGCAGAGCTGCATGTCATTTGCATGTAAATAAATGGTGATGCAACCCAAACCTCTGGATTAGTTCTCCCAGTGGTTTTTATGTAGGTCATTGTGCTATAAATATGTTTAACTGTATATTAAGTGGCTAATATTTTACAGGCTATGAGAAGACAGATGATGTTTCAGAGAAGACCTCACTAGCTGATCAGGAGGAAGTGAGAACTATATTTATCAATCAACCACAATTCTCTAAATTTTGTAACAATCACGTCAGGTATTTATAACTAACTCTTATAACCTCTTTATAACTTGCAATTGTTAATTTTCTTTTTATTAAGTTACAATTTTATATTGTCACGATTTATGTACAGTTTTAAAGAAATGGGAGTGTTAAGAAAAATCTGGCAGGACATGTTACCTGCTCTTAGAAAAAGTTAATTCACTCTGAATGGGGACTTGTAAAAAGAGATTCATGTTAGCAGTTAAATCAGTTAACTGGAACATTCCTAATGTTTTCCAAACAAAGCTACAATAAATTCTAGAGCGTTTGAGATTGATGTTGCTATTTTTTGTTTTTAGTACCCAGGCACCAGTGCTAAACTGAAACGGTTATTATTCATTTTAAAAATATTGGATGGGATCCAGAAAGCCATTCCTATAAGAATCTTTCCTATTCTCTGTTCCTCCCTGCTACCTCCATGTCCTCTCCCAAGTTTCTCTGGAGGATCAGAGGAACCTGAAGAATGTATTAGCTCAGGGAGATGCAATGGGGTAGGAGAATATCTCCAAATCAGAGGCATATTGTGCAAATGGAGCTCAAATTGCCAAAGCTTCGGATCCGACCTGTTGTTGGATATGCCTTCATCTCTTTCTTGTTCTCAAAATGCAAACATTCATTGTAGCTTTGGGGCGGCAGGGATGAGCATTTTGTGCAGCTAATTTATTAATAGCTTCCCTAGTGGGGAATATCCTCAATGGGAGGATATTGAGAGAGTGCATGCTCCCTGGGCCTCAGGTGGGATAGATCAAACCCTAACAGTAGCTTTATACAGTAGCTACAAATGCAATGGAGATGGGCAGCACTCTGTTGTGAAAGGAAATGGTGTGCTGCTTTTCCTAATTGCAGCTGCTTCCAAAGTCAGCGGTGTATTAGTGAAACTGGTCAGATCATTTATTCATTCATTCAACAAGAAGGTTATAAAAATAAATCATTTTCCTAGGAAGGCTTGCTGAAATAACCAAGCCTTAAGTTGGTACTTAAAACTTATTGTAGGGGGTGCCAGCTTCATATCATTAGGCATGCAACTCTCTGGAAGAAGCAAAGACCTGTCTCACTTATGCAGCAGTTTGGAGAAGGTTAGAAACAGCAAGGGATTCTCCCACTATTTCCTATGTACTTCAAACATCCACATATGAGACGAGACTGTTTCTTTGAGTTCTTTGGTAAGCACAGAGGACTTGGAAGAAAGATGCACTTTGGAAAAGGGAAGGGAAGGCTGCTGGGACACTTGCTCCTGGCATGCTGGCAAGTTACATTGTGGACACCTGCTCAAAGGAGAGAGGACAATATCCCATTTTTTTCCATCCAACAAATGTGTAGTGTCTAATATGCTAACGCCATCTACTGGTTATTGAAGGAAATAGAATGAAAGATTTAAAAACAAATGTGATGAAGAGCCATGGAGAGAAAGTACCATAGACTTTCTTATGCAAAATTACCTCAGATGAGAGCTTGGGACATTGCAGAGTAGCATTATCTGAAGCAACAACACCTTGAGGCTTCAGTATAAACACATAAGCCCAAGAACAATTTGAACTTTATGTGCACAAGTTGTTATGACATTAATATCACATGATTAAACAACTGTGTGTAGATTATTTTGAAATACATTCTGGATTTCTTCTTCCATATACACATAAAAACATAAGGCTATTATCACACAGCTCCCACAGAAGGATTTGAGATGGTGCATCAGGATCCTGGATTTGCATGAAGTCAAGGCATGGGAGGGAAACAGAAGGGACGGTAGATTGCACAAACGTGGCAATAGGAGTAAGAAGGGAGACGCACTGAGAGGGGGAAAGTGCTGGTTTAAAACAACACAACAGTTTGATTAGGGATGGAGGAAACTGCGAGGAAAACAGTGGTTTTAAAATACTGCAGAGGTTTGTGTAGAATACTTTGGCATATTTGATGGCTCTGCATATTTGATGGCTCTCTCACATGAGGCAAATGAGGAATGGAGGAGGCAGAAATTTGGATACGGCAAGCATGGGGTGGCAGTTTAAAATAAATTTGAGTAAAATGAGAAGGGAGTTAGGAAAGGCCCTATTTAAAGGCCTTTTGGTGTTAGCTTGTTTGTTATAGCAGAAATGGGTACAACCAGGGCCAGCCTGCCCATGAAGTGGGCTGAAGCAGCCACCTGTGGTGGCAGGATCCTACAAAGCGGTGTGAGAGTTCCTCAAGGTTTTGCAGGAGTTCTGCAAAATCTCATCGAAAGCCTCCATCGCCACACAACCCCAGTAACCAAGGCTTTGCAGCGGGGGCACCTTCCCACTTTGCCGCAGGCAGTGAAATGGGACAGACCTCCCCTGGGTACATATCCTTGCTAAAACTTGCAAAGGTGGCTGCAGAATAGGAGAGAGGAGGAGCCGTGGAAATGGAGGTGGCATGTGCATAAGGGGGAGTTGAGAAAAGAGAGGAGGAAAGTGGAGGGGGGAGGGAGGGAATGAATGTGAAAACAGTGCAAAAATGGTTGCAAAAAAGCAGGGAGTGAGAGGCATGGGAACTAGTTGAAGCTGGAAGCAGAGGCATGAAAGGGTCTGACAAATAGGAGGCGATTGTGGCTTCATAATTGGGCAGAAGGTGAAAAGAGTGCTAAGTCGTCGCTATGTGCAGAAGGATGCAGGAGATTACCATGGGAGTGGTCTGTGTGCAAAAGAGGGTTGTACAACAGGAGGGCAATAAGGAGGTGGGAACATGTTGCAAGAGAAGTGGCTTCAAAAATGGGGTTGGGAAGTTGAAAAGTGAACTTGATAATTGTGTGGGGTGAGAAGTGCAAACTCTAGGAGGTTAAAGTGGAGGAATGGTGGTGTGGTTGGTGAGTAGAATGAGCAGGGGCACAACCCCTAGTATGCAAATATTTTTGTGTTTTGTATTTGATATATGACTTAGTGGAGCATTTTTAATTTTAATTTTTTAAAAGTATACACCATGTAGTTTTTTTAAAAAGTGTCCATGACATTCACACCCAAAATTATGTATGTATATGGCATTGAAAATGGCTGTGTTCTGGGGCTCTTTTTGAGTTTTCTTGGATACAATTTGAAGCACTGTGAGAAACTGCAAACTAGTTTTAAGCAGTGACCACAAAAGGAAAAATAAATAATTATACATTGTGAGCATTGACTGTTCCATAATACTGCCTCCACAGTATTGAAAGGTATCTTATGGATTAGTGCATTCTGAATACAGGGTGCTGTGTGATTTTTATCTTTATCTCTTAACTACATACAGTTTTAATCTCTGTTTCTTAGCACTGCAAAATACAACTTAATCACATTCCTGCCGAGGTTCCTCTATTCCCAGTTCAGAAGAGCTGCTAATGCCTTTTTTCTTTTCATTGCATTGCTTCAGGTAAGCTAGACGAGGTAAATATATATTTAATAATATTCAATTGTTCTATGTCAAAAATAAAATTGCTTTGAATGTCCCTGAAATGCCAGGTCCTCATCCATTCGATTTGTGTGGTGTGGTACTACTTCATGGGAAATGTCTTTGAAATGCATTGTTTTAACACTGGAGAATTGTTGTGTTTATAAACAGTGATGCTTTTACAAATGCATAATGTCTGTGTTCACATGTAATGCTGAGCCAACTATATAGATGAGCTGCAGAAAACTTAAGTATAGCATTGGGCTCATATGCTCTCCCACTCCCCTCTTCTCCCACAAATTTACTGTCACTTCCAAAGAATGTTGGCTTGTTGTGTCATATGAACAAGGAATCCTGGCTCACAACAAACTGTTATGTTTTAAAACCTGGTGCATATGACAGAACAAGCTGACACTCTCTGAAAGTGAAACTGATCTTTGCCAAAGTCCTTTTTCTGCCACATGGGAAGAGGAAAGGGGAGCGGGGGGCATACAAGCCCAGCTCTTTGCTTTGGCTCACTGCAGCTTATCTACATAAGACTAAACCACCGTTTAATGTTCTTACTGATGCAGTCACGTTGTTGTAATAGAAGCTTACTGTACACTCACTTTAACATTTGTATTTTTCACACTTGACCCAAAATTAAGAATTACTAAGAGAAAAGGAAATTTGTGTGTCTATTCATCACACTGTTTAGGGACTTTGCCATAGTACCTAGAATTCTTTTTTTCTACAAACCGCTTCTCACTGCAGTTGCTTCTTTTGCAAGGAGTTGTACTAAAAATAATTGGGTACCTGGGGACAGAGGGGAATAAGACAGTGTCTGGGCAGCTGCAGAGCAAGCCGATCAGGCATCTGGAGTGGCGCTTATGCCCTGTATCTGGGAGTGGGGCCAACCGTCCCACAGGGTGGAGCAAGCTGGCGCAGGACACTCTGCGGGGGCCCCCAAGGAGTCTGCCTGCCTCCTCCCACTCAGCCACCCTACAGCTAAGGAGGAGGCAGTGGGCGGACCGTTTGGGGTAGCACAGAGCCTGCAGGTGCACAAGCCACCGTGTCACTCCCTGGAGAGACGTGTGGCTCGGGCACTCTGCAGGCCACGCTGTGAGTGCCGCCCAGCATTTTGTATGTCCCCCTTCAGTGGTGACACCTGGGTCAGACCGCCCCCACCGCACCCCCTTCCTCCGCCCCTGTTTCTGGGAAAGTAGGCTGGCAAACTGCTCCTCAGATATGGGTTGTTGGGAGAGCAGAAGAGTAGGGTGACAGGAGTATTTGGAAGCAGTAGTGTGGCAGGAATGTAACGTATGACGGTGATGGGCAATTGGATAGTAAAGGTAAAGGGACTCCTAACCATTAGGTCCAGTTGTGGCCGACTCTGGGGTTGCAGCGCTCATCTCGCTTTATTGGCTGAGGGAGCCGGCATACAGCTTCTGGCTCATGTGGCCAGCATGAGAAAGCCGCTTCTGGCGAACCAGAGCAGCGCACGGAAACACTGTTTACCTTCCCGCCGGAGCCGTTCCTATTTATCTACTTGCACTTTGACGTGCTTTCGAACTGCTAGGTTGGCAGGAGCATGGACCAAGCAACGGGAGCTCACCCCGTCATGGGGATTCGAACAGCCAGCCTTCTGATCGGCAAGTCCTAGGCTCTGTGGTTTAACCCACAGCGTCCCCCGCGTCCCCTAATTGGATAGTACTTGACATTAATTCTATTCCATGCTTCCGGGTGATGCTTGAGTCAGCTTTTCAAGGTATGTCTTGTACGAAGAAGCAGGAGACAAGAAATACCCAAGAACAATATGGGAGGTGCTAAGCATTACAGGGGCAAAGTTGGTTATATCCCAAGGTTCAGGGATCTAGTAAGATTTGTATGAGAAAGAAGCTTAGGTGATAGGAGATACCGTATTGGCCTGAATATAAGCCTCACTTTCCCCCCAAATCCCGACTGTGAAAAGTTAAAAATGTGGCTTATATTCACGACCTTACGGTATGCAGCCAGGAGTGTGGGGCAAACAGCACCAGGAGCCCGGCAAAGCTGCACCCACCCTGTGAGTAGTCTCCCGTCCTCTCCCCCAAGGCCAGGAAGAGAGAGAATGAGGAAGGAGAAAAGCCAATGGCAACGCAGCACAGCTCCCCCCCCCCGTATGTAGCCAGGAGCAGCGAGGAATGGATGAGCTTAAAGGTGCAGCTTATATTTGGGTGCGGCTTATATTCGGGCCAATATAGTAGCAAGTGGAAAAAGCTGAGTATTGAGCAGTTAGGAACAATAGCAACATTATCCCAGGGTTTCCCATTTAAAAGTGAAATGCCTGTTGCTTCATTCAAACTTTCAACATGTATTTGAGAATTGTCATTTTACATTTAAAAGTGGGTTTTTGTATTAAACTGTAGGTTTTGCATTGTTATTTATTTCTGCTTATAACAACTAAATAATGTTTTTCTCAATGAAATCTACATTTCCGTCCTCTCTTTTTCTTTAGCAAATTCCAGATGTTTCTCCAACTGGACGTTATACAACATTGGTTCCGCTCTTATTTATTTTAATTGTAGCAGCTGTAAAAGAAATAATAGAAGATATTGTAAGTATTTTTCGAAATAACATTAAATCCTTGTATTTATCTTCAAATAATGTATATTGTTTAAATTATGTTGGGTTGAAACCAAAGGTACCCTTGTGCAGAAGGTTATATTTGGATCCATCCTCCAGGTTTTTAAAAATGATGCCTCCATCTTGTAGTAGCTGTTTCAAAGTACATTTCTCATACCCTTCTAATATCCTTTCTTTTCTGATATATTTAAATTTTTTTCATTTGAAAAGACCTGTAACTCTGTTATGGCTGGGATGCTGCTTTGTTTTTATATTCATATTGATAAAATTTCTAGAAACAGGGGTGTTAATAAATGCTATCAATTCTTAAAGCTGCAATCCTAGATATAATATTGTATGTGCTAAGACCAATTAGATTAAATTGATCTTAAGCGTGACAAGCTACAGTACATATTTACTTGGAAGTAAGTGGGACTTTTGTGTGTGTGTGTGTGTGTGTCCCCATCCTAGGGTCAAAAGCTGCTATTGAAAAAACAAAAAGGTTGTTAAAATTATGGATCCATTGACTGCCTTGTTTGTGGTGTTTGTGGTGTGTGTGTGTGTGAATATGATGGATATGGGCAGGTGTATTTGTTCCTTTGCAGTCAACTAGGAGAGGATGACAAGATGTAGGTTGATGTGAAGTTGCACCATCAGGTTTTCATTGTTGCATTGGATTGTTAGTTGGGAATCAAGGAAAGCCAGTGGTGGCTTTCTTTCTTTCTTTCTTTCTTTCTTTCTTTCTTTCTTTCTTTCTTTCTTTCTTTCAGAATGAGTACTTTATTCCCAGCTGGACAGGATGGGCAGCAGAAATATAAGCTTTGCAATCACTCTGTACTGTCTTGGAAGGATGCATTTGGCCCTTTAGTCTAGGCAGCGGAGAGTGATTGCGGAGCTTATACTTCTTCTCCCCATCTTGCCTTAGGGCAAGAATCTAGTGGAAGTGCTGCTGGCAAATGAACCATTGTGTGACAAGAACCCCAATCCCCCACTCCCAGACACAGATTCCTAAACGAATGGCTTTCACTTTTAGTTTCTACCCATCCCCACCCCCAAAATAGCGCAGCATTCTGATATTTCAGTACAGTAGCTTCTAACATTGTCCAATTCTGTTTCAGAAAAGGCATAAAGCTGATAATGCTGTGAACAAGAAGAAAATTCAAGGTAAAGATATGCCACAGCAATTTTTTAAAATGTACAGTGAAGAAAATTGAAGTCATATGAATTAATTTGGCTTCCATTGTTACTATGACTACTTTGAAAAGCAGATATAGATACCTGAATAATATGAACTGTGCTCTAGCTAGAAAGTTGACTACTTTAAGCCACAATTGTCATCTCTCAAATGTGGTTGTGGATAAAAGCATCTGTGTTGTTTAGAAGAGTGCAGTCCTAAGTGGGAAGGAGAGGAATGAAATGATGGGAAATCTACCAGCCAAGTCAGGAAGTGTCCCCACCCCACCCGTGAATCCATTGGACAATTAGTTACACCACCTTCAGGCTGGAGTATATGAGCAGCCTGCTCCTGGGGCCTCATTGTCTAATGAAGGGTCCCCGTTCCATTCCTAGAAAGTCCACTTTGAGACCTAACCCTGGCTATTGCCAGCCGGAACACCACTGATGATAGATCTATGCCTACAGGGCTTTTCTTGGGCATAATATAGGCCTCTACAGCAAACGTGATCACTCACCCACCAGGGAGCATTTTCTCTGCTAACAGCAGGACAATTCCATAAAACCCTAACCCCCTCCGGCCCACCTGTGATTTAGGATTGCTCTGTAAGTTCTTTGCTCCATTCTTGAAAGAGAGAATTTTGTGCGAAAATAAAATAAAAATAGGTGAACCACAAAGATTTTCTAGTCAATAAGCATGGTCTCTATGTTGACACATGTTAAGCATAGGACTGCTTTTATTGATAGTGTGACATGGTTATGATGCATTTTTTATGTTATTTATAAATCGTTTTGTTAAACCGTGCCTATAGTGTGGTTTTATTTGATATCAACATTTGTGTTTTCACTGGTTTTTAATTTTTTAGTACTGAGAAATGGAGCTTGGGAAATTGTGCACTGGGAAAAGGTAGGTGATCTCTTGAGTGTTCAGAATAAAAGTGTAAATACTGGATTTGATCCAAAAATAGAAGAGATGGAAAATACCTGATGGTGCTGTTCTACAAATTTCTGGCACCAGATTAGGCATAGTACTAGGGAGGGGTTTTTTTTAAGTTCTAGTCTTAATGCAGGAGCTTACACAAGCTTTTGTGCAAATTGAAGAACATCTTAGGATTTCATCTCGGTCTTCTTGTGCAACTTCTGCACAAAGAAAGATACCAACAATAGAAATAAAGTAAATTAGAAAGGAAAAGCTACTTTTAAATGTGAATTTTATTTCTTTATTTAAGACCATTTCTGTATGGCTTAATATATGAAATATATAGATTTTCATGCATTTCCACATAGAGGCAGTTTAATACTGAATCTGGCACAAATGCATCCCAGTGCCTCTTTAAAAAGATAACATGTGCCTTTCATAGTGCTGTGAGTTGGACCCAGTCCCTGTGTTGGAACAGCAGTAGTAATCAACACTGTGAGCATTTAAAGAAACCCTTCTGCAATGTTGCTCTGCCACCAAAGGACTTCGGGGGAGGTAATGGTTTTCCAACGGTTCCTTGTCTCATTCCAAAGTTGGTCAAAGTGGCCTCCTCCCCGTAGTGTCAACGCAACTCTGTGCTAATGAAACACCACAATAATGAATTTATTGCCTCACTTGCTTAACTATTCTGGTACAAGCAAATTCTTTTGTCCATTAAGTGAGTCATATAACCTGACTGCAATATATATTTAGGGAAGACTAAGAAATGGCCTGCTGGAATAAAATAAAAAAGGGTTATGTATTTTTTAATTTCACTAAATATGATTTAATCAAATTTACATAATCACAAGAGTGATTGATCTCTCCTTCAGAAGTTTCCAGCTGGGCTTTCTCCATTATATGCTTTGACTGAAGCCAGGAAAGATCTTTCTAACCATTATCATAATTATCCTGCTGGGACTCCAATACAGTAATTTTGCTTGGAAGAGCCCATAGCTCAGTGATAGTAGATCACATGGTCTGCATGCAGAAGGTCTCAGATTCAATCCTATCATTAAAATGATCCCAGGTATTACTGCTGGGAAATTATATCTGTTTGAGGCTTTGTAGAACAAATGCTAGTTGAAGTAGACAATACTAGTCTAAACAGACCAAAGGTGTAATCATTTTGCTCCTCCCTGGTCTTTATTTTACTCCTCTGCCATGCAGAGGAAAACCAATCTGTTAAGTATAGAAAGAATATAGACAGATGAGATTTCACTTCCAATTTATTGCAGTGGAACTCTGGTATTTTTGGAACACCTTTGCAAGTTCCACTTTAAATAGTTTACCAGTTTTATTAGGCAACACATATTTAAATATAGTAAAAAGATTAAGAGCTGTTTGTTAGTCTCAGATTATTAACCAAATCCTAGTTTTCTTTCAGGTAGATGTTGGAGATATAGTTTTAATTAAAGGCACAGAATATATACCTGCTGATACTGTACTACTCTCATCAAGGTAGAGAATACCCATCAACGCTTCTGGTGTAGAGGCTGGTTTCTCTACCCTTGCATTGACTTTATAAATGCTTCAAGGAAATAAAGAATAAACAGAAGTGCCTTTTACCTCTATTCCCAGTTTGGTTCAAAGTACTGAAATACTGCATTACTGAAATTATTGATTTACAAGCTAAACAAAATTAACTTACTATGACTGGATAAAGGAAAGAGGCTTCCAATCTGTCTGCTATTTACACAAAAAGTATTTTAATACTTAAAGTTATTTAGAAGACCAGAAAGCATGCCATTGGGGGTATTCTAAGGCGATTGTTTTCACACATGAAAAAACATCCAGTTTCTTCATAACATCAGCATGCCAAATATTACATTTAATATTTGAAAGATTTAATCATGGAGGTTGTTTATCTTTATTTCCTTGCACAACTTTATTTACAAGTCCAGACCAAATATTTAGAGGATGCACTTTTTTCAAAATCTATTATGAACTTTTAATAACCTTAAAAGAAGATTTTTGAAGATGTTAAGTGAACAATTTGTCATAATGTTTACTTGGTTTTTTGTTGTTGTTTTTGTTAAAATGAAGCATCTATTATTTATACTTTGCGGTATGAATTGGCTTGTAAGGTCAATATATATATTACCATATTTGCTCGGCTTACTGTCTTAATGGGCATTCTCTTTTCAATACAAGTCTCAGTGTTTGGGGGCTGCAGTTCTAAGGTGTGGGGAAAGGAATCAAAGGCCTCATCCAGAGCCCTGCTGTGTTCTCACTGGCAGGATAGAAGTGAGAATGTCCATTTGCTGGATTTTTCTTCTCTCCCAGTAATTCTAATATGAGGGAAAGTGAAGAAAAGTCTAGACTCAGACAGCCACCCTTACTTTGGAACTCCCTGACTACTGGCATCAGGCAGGCAGCTTCACTGTAAAAGGTAAAGATAAAGGGACCCCTGACCATTAGGTCCAGTCATGACCAACTCTGAGGTTGCGGCCCTCATCTCGCTTTATTGGCCGAGGGAGCCAGCGTACAGCTTCCGGGTCATGTGGCCAGCATGACTAAGCTGCTTCTGGCGAACCAGAGCAGCTCACGGAAACGCCGTTTACCTTCCCGCTGGAGAAGGTACCTATTTATCTACTTGCACTTTGATGTGCTTTCGAACTGCTAGGTTGGCAGGAGCAGGGACCGAGCAACGGGAGCTTACCTCATTGCGGGGATTCGAACCGCCGACCTTCTGATCGGCAAGTCCTAGGCTCTGTGGTTTAACCCACAGTGCCACCCAAGTCCCTTAGCTTCACTGTATTATACGCTAAAAACACTTTTGTTTAGCCAAGCCTATCCAGATATATAGAAGCTCTCATGTGTTTTAATCTGGTTTCAGTTTATTGTTGTTTTTAATTATTATTTTTTATTCAATTCTGGTGCCGGACTGTGCCTAGCAGACAATCAATTTTGGATTTACTATCCTTTAGTAAGTGGATAGTCATTGTTCCACCATTGTTCCATTTGATGCTGGTGTTAGGAGATAGCTTTCATTGATTAGCCTTGCCAACTAGCCCAATAAATAGAGAAGAGGTTCTTCTGGTACACATCCCACATCTCATGCAATAGAAGAATTGCTTTATGTTTTGTTTTGTTTCTTTGCCCTTCTATTCACAGTCTAGCAGAATGGATATTTTTTAAAAAAAAAGCTGCAGAGGAAATAACTACTTCATGGACCATTCTAAACTGGAAGCATGTTTGCTTTAATTGAACATGAATCCCGCTCAGTTTTTAAAAGCCGATGTCCAGAATTTTGACATTATTATTATTATTATTATTATTATCCTCATGTCCTATTCCATTGCTAAAAGAAGGTGTTAATTTCAAAATAAAATCAATTCTTAGGAGAGATCAAGCGGGAGTTTTTATTTTTACATTTAGTGTTCATTTTAATTTCTTGAGAAAATGTGGGAATACTTTTCTGGGAACCTTGGAGAACCATGGATTCCAGTAATAATGGTTCTGTGCTGTTAATGGATCCACTGTACTGGAATTCTTTATCTAGGAAGGAATCCTCCAGAAGTGACTCCAGAAGCACCCATAGCCTTTCCCCATAACTCAATATAATTCTCAGTGCTACAGTATCATGACTTTGCCACTGCATATCTTAAATAACCAGATGCTTACATTTTAACTATTCTAAGGGTTGTTGTTTTTCCCTTAAGAGTTTGTACCTAAATATATATATTTAATAAATAATATTTGAATTCTGATATGTCTATTTCGTTACCATATTTTCCTGGATCCGATTAAAATAGATTTTGAAAAAAAAGCCATCAAGCATTTATTAACATACTTTGTATAGTAATTTCCAACTTTTTGTCTCTTTTTGTCTTTTGTCCGTTTGATTTCCTGCCCTTTACTTGTTGTGTTATAATCATTTTAAAAAATTTAAATTGGGACATGTAGGTTGCAGTAGGGGAAATAGTGAAAGTGACCAATGGGGAACACCTCCCAGCTGATCTCATCAGTCTGTCTTCAAGGTTAGAATGAACCAGTTTCAGAACAAATGTGTATGTGGGTCCTCTTAGGCCAAAGCAGTGTTTCTGCCATCAACCATTTACATATTAATTGTGTACAGAAATTGAATTCTAGAAATAATGCAGCATTCGTATAAAATAGGAGAGCAAGAGAGGTTTACCTGGGCTTAAGTAATAGGACTATTTCACCTTGAGTTCTTAAAGACTATTAAGACTGCCATCCTTTCCATGTTTACTGTGGTATATACCCCATTTAAATAAATGGGACATACTTCTGAGTTAACATGCTTAGGATTGCAGTAACAAACACAAATGCAAACATATTTGAACATCCAGAATTTGCTTTTCTTGCCTTCCTGTTACGTATGTAATTACACCATACTTAATAATGCTATATTATAAAAGAAACTGTTTCTTTGAAATGGTTCAATGTGCAGCTGCCTGTATTGAAATTAGTTAAATCTTTACATCATTAAATGCATTCTATTTAAAGTTTAACTAATGTCCATATTTATATTCTAAAGAACCTGCTTTCAGTAACTTTATATAACACTAAAAAATTAGCAATTATTATACTTGAGCTTTTAAAGTGGACCCTCAATACAAACGTAAATGTTGCACATTTTGTAGTGCATGCAGTTAGAAAATAGTCATATTTTTCTTTGTAGAAATATTGCACGATATTTGGTATACTTCAGATTTTGAAAGTCTTTGTGCTGTGATTGCATCTTATTTTGATTTCACTAATCAAAATCCAATCTGATGTCTCTAGTGGAGCATGTGTCCTTTCTTTTTAATGTTTGTGCTGCCTTGTTTATTTTCAAAGTCCATACAAAATATGCAGCCCCATGTTATGCATGTTAACTCAGAAGTAAGCCCACTGACATCCATGGGACTTACTGTGTGAATAGGATAAAGCCTTACTTTGTATTTATAAAAACACATGAAGTACGGCAGAATGTAAATATGTATCAACTAATCAGTATAGTGAAACAGTCTAAATTCTAATCAGTATTCAGTCATTTACAGTTAAAGAAAAGAAGGCCAGAAGATAGCTCAATATCAAATTGAGAAATGTGGTGTGGAAACATTTTGTAATTCAACTACAGGTTGGCACCAATCACACTGCTAAAGAGGATATTCCACAAAAGACCCTCTTCGGTGTCACCATATAATTCACTTCCTTTAATGATGAGGCATAGAGAAGAGCCCCATTGGAGCAGCTTAAGATATGGCCAGGCTAGTATAGGTTCATTCAAGTAATTGGGCCCCAAGCCGTCTGAAGCTTAAGTCTTTCAGAATCAGATTAATCAGAATATTTCTATATTAACTGGTTGATTTTAAAAGACTTCTAAACCGCTTAACATTTAGGAATTGCAAAGTGGTGTGTTATATAGTAAATTTATATAATAATAGTAAATTGGAAACAAAATAAAATACAATTTCCACAGTTACCAGCAATATACACCCTATAGTCAGGAAATGCTTTGGGGAACTAAAAGGTCTTCAGCATACATTGAAAGCATAGAATAGGCAGTGCATCTGGAATAACGGTTCTGCTTCTGTCAGTTCTTTTCCATATGTGCTTCATGTTGAATAAATTCAAAGTGCAAAAGTTTGGCTATCTCTGCAGAGTGCTTTATTGTTTTGTGGTATGTGATCCTGCAGATTGTAGTGTTAGCATGGTGTCAAATATGTTTATTTGGCTAGCATTCTTTGCTTAATATTTTTCTGAGAATCTCTTAAGATCTGTAATATTTTCTCTACTTAAAGTATAAGGCAGTATGATCAACTGATCAACTTTGTGTGACTTACTATACAGATTAGTATCAAAGGTCATACTTTGATAATCATGTTCTACAAATGTGAATGTCTGATTATAAACATAATTTATTTTTGAAAATAACATACTAAAGAATGGATATAACTTTTAAAGTGATCAACTCACAAAAATGAATCTTTTCCCCCCTCTAAGTGAACCACAAGCTATGTGCTACATTGAAACATCAAATTTAGATGGCGAAACCAATCTAAAAATACGACAGGTAAGTTGCTGCCTATCAATTAAAAATGTTTATGTTGCCATAAAGTGTTGCTTCTGTCGTCACTAATGGATAGTAAATGGGAGATAAGATATATGAACGAACTGCCAGAGGTGTGCATACAATTCTTCTGGACTGCATAATGCCAAATGATTGGGTATCAAGTGTTCTTGTTGTCTCCATTTGAGCAAAATAGGGGGGCAGATTTCAGTGGCACCCTCCAATTATCTACGCCACAAAAACTGGGACTGGGGAAATTGTATTGTGGAACAGCACATGGCAGCTATAAGACGCTTATAGTTTATCCACCAGTTGTTGACAGTGTGGTAAAGGGATTGTTACTTTCAATCCTATATTTTAAACCATACCACGCCTTTGCAAATTGGGTTGTAACTTGCTAATATTTTAGTAATGAAAGGTTAACACATAAATGTGTGTTAAGCAGAAGTTGGGTTTCAATATAAAGTTTGCGTCTTTGGAAGCTTTGGGGTGTGAGCTCTTGCCAGCTGCCCTAGTGCTTTTGCAGGTGAGCAGCACGCTTGCACACAGAAGTCTTCTATGGCAATATTTGTGTCACTCACTGTTAGTAATCAGTGTGAGAAGGAGTAACAGTCACACAAACCAGTAATTGTAACTCCAGGGCACACACGCATACACACATACAGTGGTACCTCAGGTTAAGTACTTAATTCCTTCCGGAGGTCCATACTTAACCTGAAACTGTTCTTAACCTGAAGCACCACTTTAGCTAATGGGGCCTCCTGCTGCTGCCGTGCCGCCGGAGCACGATTTCTGTTCTCATCCTGAAGCAAAGTTCTTAACCTGAAGCATTATTTCTGGGTTAGCGGAGTCTGTAGCCTGAAGTGTATGTAGCCTGAAGCGTATGTAACCTGAAGCGTATGTAACCCGAGGTACCACTGTACTCTGAGAAATAAGTAACTTGTTACATCTCCAGATTGAGGGTTAGCATTTCTGGGGAACCTGATGCTGATGACATGTTTTTCAAAAAGCATGAAGAAAGGTTGCCAGAAAGCTACCATAGTTACTGCCACTGTTTAATTTAGGAATGTTTTGGTGTTCGCCCAAGGAATCTCAGGCTTGTATCTAAATAGTCCCATTTGTGAATATTTAGATAGGCACTTGTGACAGCTTTTTTCAGAATGCAAGTAGGAAAACATAGTAGTATGAGCAACTCTGGTTCTGTAACATATAATACTGAATACATTAATATGTTGTATTAATAGAATTTAACTCTGTGTGCTTTCTAAAGAACTCACTGTTAAACCAAAAACAGTTTCATTTGAGCCAAATTACTGAAAACTGTAAGAGATGTTCAAGATAACAATGTTCAAATTATTCGGGCACAATTTAGCCACAACTTTCATAGCTGGCAACTTAAATTTTAATATTTCAAGAGCACTTCAACAATAAAAATAAGATTGGAAGCCATCTGTTCTGGTAGATGGTGGATTAATGCTATAGGAATGAACTCTGTGCATCCACAGTAACTTCCTTTTTTGTTTGCAGCAAAGCATAGGTTCTTGTTATATCAGAGATTGTAAACTCTGGTTTGCAAACAGTATTTTGAAGCTGATTTGTAATCCTGGTTTGGAGGAACAAAGACAAGCCATTATTTTTCTTGGTTAGCTAAAACAGCAAAAATAGCTCTTCATTCATTCTCTAGTCATGCTACTAAAACAAGTGAGTGGGGCAGTAAGGTTGTTCTGTGTTGATATAGGAAGTTGTCCCAGACTGAGAAAGCAAATATTGCTGTGTTGAATGTTTCCTGTATTGATTTGGTTATAGTGTTCCATAAAAATTTGTTGATTCAGGGTTTGCCATTGACATCGGATATCAAGGACATTGACAGCTTGATGAGACTTTCAGGAAGAATTGAATGTGAAAGTCCTAACAGACATCTTTATGACTTTGTGGGAAATATCAGATTAGATGAGCATGGGTATGTAACCATCTAAGTATCTTTTCATCATGCCATTAAAAACCTGTAGAGGATATAAATGATATAAGTATAAATGTATAAATGATATGAGAATATAAATGATATAAGAATACAAATGATATAAGAATATAAATGATATACCACCCCCATTATTCAGACCAGCCACTGAGATCAAGCGCCGAGGGCCTTCTGGCGGTTCCCTCATTGCGAGAAGTGAGGTTACAGGGAACCAGGCAGAGGGCCTTCTCGGTAGTGGCGCCCGCCCTGTGGAACACCCTCCCATCAGATGTCAAGGAAATAAGCAGCTATCCTATTTTTAAAAGACATCTGAAGGCAGCCCTGTTTAGGGAAGTTTTTAATATTTAATACTGTATTGTTTTTAACACTCGATTGGGAGCCGCCCAGAGTGGCTGGGGAAACTCAGCCAGATGGGCGGGGGTATAAATAATAAATTATTATTATCATTACTATTATTAGTGAATTTTGTACAGATAATAAGCAAACATCAAGTGTTAAGTTATATATACCTTATGAATACATAGAAGAGGTATGAGTCTTCACAAGGCTTTGCGCTTTCATGGAGAACAAGCTACTTACCATAAGCAGGTGAATTGCAAACCCTTTGAAGTAAATTAAATATTCTGTTTCCCCTTTATAAACTTTAGCCAAAGGATCTCTCTTAAATCATTTAGGCTCCAACTTCAGGGCTGGGAAAGCAGGGCTGAAAACGTTACTTCCTGCTGGCTATAAGCTACCCACCAGCCTTGCAGATTATCTTCCTACCTGAGACAGAGAGGGATGTTTTCTGCAGAACTCAGTGCTTTGTTTCAAACTTTTTAAAAATAATAATAAGTGATTCTAGGAGAGTCTGAGACACATTCTGAGAAACTGTATGCTAGGCAGATTCCTTTTCCAGCTTCTTTTCCTTGTCTCACCTGTGAAGAGCATCTTCTTTTACCTTATCAGCTCTTTTCTATTTCAAACCTTTATGAAAAACTAGGATGTGAAAGTTGCCGCGAGAGAGAATGTTGCATAAAATGGTCCAAGCTAGTACCCTTAGAGTACTCAATGCCTTCCCTTGTGATCTTTTTCTTGGCTAGCAGGCTGCCTTATGTTGATTAGAGTTATTTACTTAGCATCTTCCAGCCAGGGGCGCCGACTTATAAAAAATATTGGGGGGGCCCATACCGGGGTCCTGCCCCGGGAAGTTTTCTAAGTTCCCCGCAGGGCGGGGCCGCTGCAGGAGGGTAAGTGGCGAGGGCGGGACGGGGCCGCGCGTTCCTTTCCTCAGCTGCCCTCGTCGCAGGCCTTGGCTCCCGTGGCCGGCGAGGGGAGCCCGGGCCGCATGCGGCTGCTGCTGCCGCCGCCTCTCCTGGGGGCGCCGCCTCCCCGGGCGGGAACGCTGCGGGTGCGCGAGGGATGCCATGGGGTATTATTTTCACCTTGCTTTTTTAAAAAGGAAAACAAGCTACACTTTACTAAATGTACGCAAAACACCTGGAACATGCAGCTCTTTAGATGGCAATGAAGGTGGTGGGAATGGAGAAGTGATGATCTCATTGCCCTCTGGATTTTGGGTTAAATATTTGAGAGAATAAGCTTTATCGTAAAGCAGGTTTTAGAAACGAAACTCACTCTGATAAGGCCCATCTAAGGACTAAATGCCATCTACATAACATGCCCAGAATCTTATGTTTTTTTGCAAGTCGTGTTGTTCTGCCAAAACGCAGGCTAAAATGACTGCATGGAAAACGTGGCATGCTAATAGCGATTTGAAGTTAAATATTCATACTGATGAATAGCTATAGCAGCAGAGCAGTGGCGTAGCGTGGGTTGTCAGCACCCGGGGCAAGGCAAGTAATTTGCGCCCCCTAACCCGTGGATTTTAGCACTTGAGTGCGAGCGCCCCCCCCCAGATGCCTGGTGCGGCCGGCCCCCCTGCACCCCCCACGCTACGCCACTGGGAACAGCTAAGGGAGCTGGGCATGTTTAGCCTGGAGAAGAGGAGGTTAAGGGGTGATATGATAGCCATGTTCAAATATATAAAAGGATGTCATATAGAGGAGGGAGAAAGGTTGTTTTCTGCTGCTCCAGAGGAGCGGACACGGAGCAATGGATCCAAACTATAAGAAAGAAGATTCCACCTAAACATTAGGAAGAACTTCCTGACAGTAAGAGCTGTTCGACAGTGGAATTTGCTGCCAAGGAGTGTGGTGGAGTCTCCTTCTTTGGAGGTCTTTAAGCAGAGGCTTGACAACCATATGTCAGGAGTGCTTGATGGTGTTTCCTGCTTGGCAGGGGGTTGGACTCGATGGCCCTTGTGGTCTCTTCCAACTCTATGATTCTATGATTCTATGAGGCTGTGTCAGATAGGGTGGAAATTTCATCCTTTCTGTCCCTCACATGGGAAACCGAAAAACACCCTCTCAGAATTAACTAGGGACCAGGATTACCAAAGCCCCATTCTCCCTGCAACCGCTCGGGTATCCGGTGGGCACCCAGTGAAATTATTTCCAACCACAAAGTCCAATACAAAGTATTTTTGTGGTAGGGAAGGAGTTTCAGCTTTGCCTTGTGGGCTGTTCCTCCAAGCTGTCTTTGCGGCGCGTAACAGCCTGGAAGAGAATCGGCGAGAGGATCTTTAGAATTCAGTGCAAATTGAATTTCACCGGAATAGCTCGGAGGTGCTGGCAGCCCGCTCCCCCCCCCCCCGCTTTTTCGTTTTCTAAACAAGTGATCGGACTCTTCCCCTCCCCTCAGCCCCATGAAACAAGTCCCCAGCGCGAAAAGAAATAATAATTAAAAAAAAAAAAAGATAACAAGGACTGGTTGTTTTCCAGAGCGAGGTGGAAGCCGCCCATCGCAAGGGCAGAATCTCTGCGGTGCGTAATTACGCGCGGCTTGGAGAGCTCTTTTCCCCCCATTACCCGGGCCCTAGCGGTGCCCGCGGCAAGGTGAGATTCTCCCTCTCCGGCAGGCGCCTCTGCGCACCTTCACCCCATTCTCCAGCCCCGCCACATCTGGGAACATCATTAAGCAGTCGCCTCTGCAGCTCGGGAAGTTTTCACACTTCACGTTTCATTAAACGCAGGTCTTCTCAGATTCCTTGGGAAAGGGAGAAGCGGGAGAGAAAGGGGAGAGGCGCTGGGCGCGGGTCGGGGGAGAGCGCCTGATTGGCAGCTGCTGGGCTTTCAAAGCCAAATAAAACGGCCAGTCTGCGGAGCGCAGCCGCAGCGGCGGTGGGGGGCGCGCGCGCGCTAGGGCGCAAGGCTGGCGGCGGCGGCGGGGAGCCAAGGCGCGCGACGAGGGCAGCCGAGGAAAGGAGCGCGCGGCCCCGTCCTGCCCTCGCCACTCACCCTTCTGCAGCGGCCCCGCCCGGGGAGGCGGCGCCCCCAGGAGAGGCGGCGGCAGCAGCAGCCGCGCGCGGCCCGGGCTCCCCTCGCCGGCCGCGGGAGCCAAGACGAGGGAGGAGGGCGGCCCCCGGGGGCTGGGAGAGCCGGGCTGCCGTGGCCGAGAGGGCTGCTCTGCCGGGCACCGCTGAATAATTTTCTTAAATTATTGGGGGGCAGAGCCCCCCCAATAAAATTTTTGAGGGGGCTCGGGCCCCCTCAGGCCCCATGGAGTCGGCGCCTATGCTTCCAGCAGTGCAGCAGATCTCTGCTTGGAGCGGTTTGCATTATGTAGGTTTTTTTGAGAATTTGAAGATGGTTTTACCTTGCAGTGGAAGTTAGACTGCAACTTTGTGCTCCTAAGAGTTTAGTCTGGATATGAAGCTGCTTGTGCCTCGTGTGTGTGTCCTTATTTTTCCATTACTATATTGTGATGTCTCAAGTTGATAATGGCAGAAATTGAAATAAAATAGACGTTAGTTGGTATTTCCCCATGTGGGTATTTTACTTAAAACTCAACCTAAGTCAATGTTTATTTTATTATTTTTAGCACTGTTCCACTGGGTCCTGATCAAATTCTTCTGCGTGGAGCTCAGCTAAGAAATACGCAATGGGTTCATGGTATAGTTGTCTACACAGGGCACGATACCAAACTCATGCAGGTTTGTCTTTTAATTATGAATAATATTTATTTTTTGTTTGGATGTTCTGATTCATGGGTACTACCTGTACCAATTTCAAACTGTACATTTATGAGAAATCTAGACACAAGTAGCAAGGACCATGATCCTGTAGCATAGGGTTATACCTAAAATGTAATTACTGCCTACAGTGTTGTGCTGTTGAAGCTCAATAAACTAAAGACCAATCCATCACAAATCACAGGAGTTGTATATGTAGAACTGGTACAAGCTAATGTAGTAGACTTTATAGTGTTGGTCACCAATCCTGTTCGGCAAATACACTGTATTTTCCTGTGTATAAGACTAGGTTTTTTTCCTTTTAAAAAATGTCCAAAATTTGGGTGCATCTTATACACAGATAGATCTCCTCCCCCCATTTACTTAAATTGGAGTCCCCAAAAATAGGGTGCATCTTATACATGGGGGTGTCTCATAGACGGAAAAATACGGTAATTGCATTAATTAAAACATGTGAAAGGAGTTCTTGATTTGCTAGGTATAAATGAATGGTTAAATGTACTTCATATGTGTCATATCAAAAAATTGCTTTTCTGTTCTTGTATGCATTAAAAAGTACTGTATAGGGCCTAGGCAGAATGTTGTTTCTTGGTGTGTTTAAAAACTGGTAATCACACTTATGGGATGGGCAATACATATGATTGTCTTTTATTTCCAATACTATCTAGTGGGGGGAAATCACATGCATATGTCTTCTCTTATTTATAAACTCTTTTTATTTCATCCACAGAACTCAACAAGCCCTCCTCTTAAACTATCCAATGTTGAAAGAATTACAAATATTCAAATTCTGTTTCTGTTCTGCATTCTCATTGCAATGTCTTTGGTTTGTTCCATTGGTTCAGCTATATGGAATAAAAAACATGAGGAGCGGGACTGGTATATCAATTTAAACTGTGAGTACAGTGATAGTTAAATTAGCTTGTATTCATAAAATAAGATAAATGTGTTATATCGTTAAGGAACAGTTTTGTTCATATCGAATAAGGGTTTTACATCAAAATGTGTATGTAAAATATACTTGCACTCGCTGCTAGAAATTAACAAGAGAAAAGTTTTGTTCAGGGCCAAATTATGATACAGGAAATGTCTGATTACATTTCTTGTATCTGTTTTCTTTGGGGTTAAAAAGCAGCAGGCATGGAGGAGAAGCTTTATTCCTTTACACTCATGCCATGGTCCTTGTGAAAGGTGTGTCCCCAAGCTATTTGCTGTTGGAGGGAAGACTTGGAGAATACTTCCAGGTGCAACCTTGTTTGTCACACTAACCTTAGGGAATATTGCTGGGCAGCCATGTGGGTGCCTGAGGCAGTTTGTCTCTTCCCCTTTACCCCTGAGCTGATTTCCTCCCAGAGAATATAACAGGAATAATTTTGTTGGGCCTATAGACACCACAGGTTGGACTTGGTTTATCATTTTTTATTTTCAAACCTTAAACTTTCAAAATGCCACCTGATAAATGAACTTTTGGCATTACTGCTGTTAATTTCCTAAACTATAAACATATTCTTATTATCTTTCTTTCTTTCTTTTTTAAACAGATGGTGGCGCTAATAATTTTGGACTGAATTTCCTGACCTTTATCATTCTTTTCAACAATCTCATTCCAATTAGCCTGTTAGTTACACTAGAAGTGGTTAAATTTATTCAAGCATATTTCATAAACTGGGTAAATACGAGCATTTTTTGTGCTATTTGCAGAGCTTTGATAAGTGCTTTCAATAATAAATGTTATATATGTCTTCCCTTTGCTATGAAAGGGAGGCTTTATTAAAGTAATGCAAACTTAATTACAAGATTAAATGTTTTTATAAAGTTTAAAGTTTGCAACATCATGCACCTTTTCATATATAATTTCATAGACTTTAAATTCTATGGATTGTTGAAATCCCTTTCAACCCAGCATTGTGAATCAGTTTTCTGAGTTTGCAGCCTAAAGGAACTTGCATAGTCCTAGTACCACCTGATACACCATACTAATATGGAATCTGAGGCCAGATTGTGCATTTTGTGCAAAGGAAGCACATGCTGCCCCAGGTTCCACCTGTGAGATTTTATTTTGCCCATAGAAACTTCAGAAATAAGTGCAATAGTAATGGCATTCAGATAACTCCTGGTATGTTGGTAAGAGCTATATGCCAGCATTCAGCTAAACCCACAAGGTTTGGTGGCCTACCTGGGAACATGATGATGTCAGGGGCAGATGATGTCAGGGGCCGGGCCAGCAGGGGCAGTTCCACTTCCTCCTTCATTTGCTATATGCAGTGTGGGAGATGGGCAGGAGACTTGTACATGCTGAGCACAGCTGATAAGTGAATAACACTGTGCAGTATACTGCATCTACAATAAGACTTAGATCCAAATAAACAGGCATCAACTTTCACATGCCCAAGGGTGTTTGGATTTGCCTTTCTAAACATAATGGAGGTTCAAAGCAGTTTCTAATTGAGCAAGACAGTATGTCACTTGAAGGGGGGAAGTTAACAAGGGATCCAGAGAGCTAGCTTTGACACTCAGGGACTCTTTTCTTGCAACTTGAAGCCGTTGGTTCGAGTCCTACCCTCCAGGGCAGGAGAAAACAAGCATGCTCCCTCCTCCTTAAGATATTTGAAGGTGGTTATCATATCTCCTCTCATTCTCCTCTTCTCTGGGCTTAACATAGCCAGTTCCATGTTAAACTTGTGGTCTACCACATGTCCTTTTCACATGTGCTACTGGCAAATCAGGGGCCCCCACCCTATATTTGTGCACCTGATTCTTCCTGCCTAAGTGCAGAACCTTACATTTGTACCTGTTGAAATTCATTTTGTTAGCTTACACCCAGTTCTCCAACCTGTTCAAAGGTCATTTTGAATTCTGATTCTGTCTTCTGTGGCATTAGCTACTCCTCCCAGTTTGGTGTCATCTGCAAATTTGATGAGCATGCCCTCAATTCCTTCATCCAAGTAATTTATAAAGACATTAAACAACAACGGGCCCAGGACAAAACCCTGCGGCACCCGACTTGTCACTTTTTTCCAGGATTACGAGGAACCATTGATGAGTACTCTTTGGGTTGGTCAGTCAACCAGCTACACAAATCCACCTAACAGTTACCTCATTCAACCCACATTTTACCAGCTTCCTCGCAAGAATATCATGAGGGACTTTGTCAAAAGCCTTACTGAACAATATACACTATGTCCACAGCATTTTTCTGATCCACCAAGTTTGTAATTCCATCAGAAAAAGAAATCAGATTGGTCTGGCATGACTTATTTTTGAGAAACCCATGCTGGTTCTTAGTAATCAAAGCATCATTTTCTAAATGCTCACAGACCCACTGTTGAATTATATGTTCTAGGATCTTCCCTGGTTTCGACGTCAAGCTCACTAGTCAGTAGTTACCTGGGTCTTCCTTTTTCCCCTTTTTGAAGATGGGGACATTTGCCCTCCTCCCGTCTGTAGGGACCTCACCTGTCCTCCAAGAATTCTCAAAGATAATAGAGAAAGGCTCTGAAATTACATCCTCAAGCTCCTTTAGTACCCTTGGATGTAGCTCATCAGGCCCTGGAGATTTGAATTCATTTAAACCAGCTAGGTGTTCCCTTACTACCTCTTTTCCTATCTTAGGCTGCAGCTCCCTCCTTACATCATTTATTCTGTTATCATTAGGTTGGGCATTGCTTTCCTTTTGGGTGAAGACAGGCAAAGTATGTATTGAGTAGTTCTGCCTTTTCTTGGTCACCCAAGAAAATACCAGCATACATAGGGAATTCTGGATAACTGTATCTACATGAAATAAGTCACACTGACAACAAGAAACATTATTTTCATGTAACAACATGAAATGGTGGGTTATCGGCTTTTTAAATGTTGCCTTTTCCTTTTGATAGGATATTGACATGCACTATGAACCTACAGACACTTCTGCCATGGCTCGCACATCCAATCTCAATGAAGAACTTGGGCAGGTATGTTGTCCCTCCTAACAATGGTTATGAAATTCATGGAAATTGGTTATTAAAAGTTTCCATGAGCAATTAATAGGTGCCTAGATTTCAGTATTTTTGCATCACCTATATTTATTATTAATAATAATGATTACCCACCTTTCACTCTTAAAGTCCCAGGGCAGGTTACAACCATTAAAACACAATGTTAAAAACAGTTTAAAACTACTTACAATTACAAACATAAGGTGGGTCCTAAAAATAAACATATCACATGGCAAAAACCAGGGTCAAGAGGTGTGTGTGTCCCCCCCCCCCAATGTTGGTAAAGCAGTACCAATATTTGCCCTAGTCCTAAAGATTAGAGATACTTCATCTGAAGGCGTGGCCCAAAAGAGACACTACACCCCATCCCTGTCCTGATTAGACTTCTCTATGCCCTCCTAAGAGAATGGAGAACTCTCTTGATAGAGGGTAGGGTTTTTTCAACAGATATGTCAATAGATATTTAAAGGTAAAGGGACCCCTGACCATTAGGTCCAGTCGTGACCGACCCTGGGGTTGCGGCGCTCATCTTGCTTTATTGGCCAAAGGAGCTGACATACAGCTTCCGGGTCATGTGGCCAGCATGACTAAGCTGCTTCTGGCGAACCAGAACAGCACACGGAAACGCCATTTACCTTCCTGCTGGAGTGGTACCCATTTATCTACTTGCACTTTGTCATGCTTTCGAACTGCTAGGTTGGCAGGAGCAGGGACTGAGCAACAGGAGCTCACCCCGTCGCGGGGATTCGAACTGCCGACCTTCTGATCACCAAGTCCTAGGCTCTGTGGTTTAACCCACAGCGCCACCCGTGTCCCTCAATAGATATTTAGTGAAGTGCAAATTCCACACGAAAACCCAGCAATCTGTTGTGGCATGGCTGAGAAGGGGAGACGTCCTGTTTATCAGCTGCATGCAGGCCTTTCTTCACATCTCATGAAGAGACATCACCAACGAGCAAGACAAAAAATAAACATGCGGTCTCCCATTTTTTGTGAGAAGGGCAGACAAAGGCTACATAATCCCAAACAGTATGAAGCCTCCCTGATTCTGCTATAAGGGGGCTTAGAATTGCTGCAATCCAGTGGTATCCACTAGAGGGCATGAAAGAACAAGAAAAACAAAACAAGCCCTTTTTAGCTGGGAAAAAACGGATTGGAAGCTACTTCACTCTTAGACTAGGATGCAGAGGACTCTATCCCTTCTGAATCTTCCTACATGCAGTTTCAATATTGTGATAAAAGCTCTGGAAAGACCTCCCTCTGAGCCCAGGGCAAGGGGGGTGTCACTTGTTTAAAAACATTAAATTCTTGTCTTTATGGTATAACAGAGCTGGATTAAAAGGAGAGTTATGTGTTTTCTATCACATATGATTGGAAATCCATTGGGTAGTCTGAGCTTGTAGGCATGTAGGCTGCTGCAGAAAGTTACATCCATGCTGAGCAACTGGTAGCATTGGAGGTGAAACATGAGTTCTGAGGGGACACTGTGATTAGAGGAACAAATGACAGACATTCCATCCAAACCAGCCAGTAATATTTCTTTTTGCTAAGGTTGTTTAGCATTTTCAACATTTATTATTTATACAGCATGTTAAAACATGAAGAGTTTTTAACAGTTGAGACATTAATAGTATGAATGTAGGCTTAATGAGAAGTCTTAATCAGCCTTATCATTTGTTTAGGTCAAATACATATTTTCTGACAAAACTGGCACCCTGACATGCAACGTAATGCAGTTTAAGAAGTGTACTATTGCAGGAATCGCTTATGGGTAAGTTTTTCCATAATATGGTTGCATTTGTACTCTTTGCTACTTTAGTGAAAATAGCTTTTATTATATTCACACATTTGGGGTTTCAATCATATCAGAATTTAAAACATCAATTCACTTTGGAATATATCTTTAGCACTTAAAAGCAAAATGCAGTTAAAAGGGCCAGAAACCTATGAATTACTATGATTTCAGCAATATGTTACTGGTTCTTAAGCAAGTTAATAATACCTTTGCTTTATAGCACATGAACAGACATCTGGATGTTTCATATATACATATTATACCTATGCAGAAATTATAATTGAGGCTTTGAGCAGTCGGGTTAAGACACCTCATAGTAACCATAAGACTAATAAGTCCTAGTTCAGAAAAGTAAAATAAAAAGGGTCTTTTGATTTTAAAATATTTCCTGTTTAACTGCTAAAATGAATTGTTGTTGCATAATTGAGGACTGTGTGGGTCCTTGATGCTTCTTGTGAAAGTACCTTTAGGCTATTCAAGCAAAGTGGAATATTTTCAATTTAGGAAACCTGGCCATTGAGATCTGCAGTGAAATGTTGCAATGTTGAATGCTCTTATTTTGGGTTCAAGCCAGCCAGCAAGTGGATGCCCTCTTCCAATATATTTTCTTCCATTACTTCTTATCGACCCCTTGTCTTCTATTTATTCTGCTCCCTCCCCTCATCCGTGTCCACTGAACATGATCTTTGCTCATTGAACTATTTCATGTGTTTGTGTCCCTTAGGAGTTTCTTTCCTTCCCTAAATATTTCTTTGTTGTTGTTGTTTTCCAAACCTTGTTTTCCAAACCAATTTTGGTTACATAAGGATCCAAAGTTGGAGAGTTAGATGGCATAGGACAAGCCACTCCATCTCCAATGACTGCTATAGCTGGAATACACAGATATTTTCTATCTTGATGAGTTGAGTACAGTGGTACCTTGGTTCTCAAACGTAATCCATTCCGGAAGTATGTTTCAAAACCAAAGCATTCCAAAACCAAGGCACACTTTCCCATAAAAAGTAATGCAAAACAGATTAATCCATTCCAGACTTTAGAAAAAACCCCTAAAACAGCAATTTAACATGAATTCTACTATCTTACAAGACCATTAATCCATAAAATGAAAGCAATAAACAATGTACTGTACTATAAAATAAATAAACAGTATTGTAGATGATTAAAATTAAAACTTTTTCTTACCTGCACTGATGATAGTCATTGTTTGGATGGGGGGCTTTTATCCATTTCCACAGTCACGTAATCAATCAATCAATCAATCAATCAGTAGCTGCACTGGGTTCCACACAGTCACAAAAAAAAAATTAACTGAAAAAGCCTTAAAAGAAAAAAACGCAAAATAAATAGCAAAAACAAAAGCACCAAATATAAGCTCCAAATATCGCCTCAGAACATTGCAATCAGAATCGGAAGGCTTGAATTACAATGGGGGGACGCAAATTAGCAGTGCAAGAGGAAACACAGGGGGACACAAATTAGCAGTGCAACAGGAAACACAGGGAGACTCAAAACAGAGCACGTTCAGCTTCCGAAAAAAAGTTCGGAAACCGGAACACCTACATCCAATTTTACAGCGTTCAGGTTCCAAGTTGTTTGTGAACTAAGCTGCTGGAAAACCAAGGTACCACTGTATATAATTGCAATTGATTACTGAATAACTGGGTGAAATGAAGAACACTATTGGAGCTTAGTTATTTTAATTAGCTGTATATTTTGGCTAAGCAAATGCTTTTAGGCCTACAGGGGAAAGGGTGGACAGGTTGATTGAAAGAATCCTCTCATCCTCCACACTCCCTACAGCAGGGGTTGGGAATCATTTCCAGTTGAAGGACCACTTTTTCTAATGGGCAGCCATCCAAGGGCCACACGCCAGCAATGGGCAGGCTCAGGGGCAACACTAAGTGGAATAGTCAATGTAAATTTATTTCTGGTGTCATGCATAGGCTGATTTCTACATATGCACACATCTCTGTCCTCCATGCCAGCAAGCAAGAGGCATTAACAGAGTTCCAGGATACATTTCAATCCAGAAAAGACATTCAGAATATGAAGTATGGCCAGTGAGGGGTGCAGCCTGGGAAGAGTTCTGAGGGCCACATAGAGAAGCCTGGAGGGTCCTCGTTTGGCCTGCAGGCCTACACATCCCCACCCGGCCCTACAGTATCAAGTCAGTATCTTCACACCTTAAGACATCATCCCTTACCTGGCACATTAACTCAAACTTTGTTCACTGAACTAATTAGCTCTCAGCAGACTTCCACAGTGTGTTTCATATCACAATCCTTCTTTTTGTTTTCTGTGTTCATTTTATTTTCATTTCCTTTTCATTAAATTCTCCTTTATTTGCCATCTGAACTTGACGCCTTTCAGAGCTATTTCCTATTTCTTTACCTCCTTTCTTTCCACACAGCCATTCTCCTGAATCAGAGGATTATGGCTATGCTACAGACGAGTGGTAAGCACTAACCTTCTTCTAGCGTTGGTTGTTTTTGCTTGGGCGAATGCAGACTGTCAGTATTTTGTGAGTAAGATTCATGTGCACAGCAGGAAAATGAAATCTGCATGTTTAAAACACTCTGTGGCCCTGACACAATAAATCTTCTTTAAGAAAGAAACAGACTTTTTGTGGTCAGGAAAGTGACAGGGAAATGAAATGAAAAGTGTAGAATGAAGGAATGATTGATCATGAGATAGATAGATAGATAGATAGATAGATAGATAGATAGATAGATAGAGAGACAGACACACACACACACCACAGGCACTGCAAGATGAATGCTCATTGTCATTTAACCTCTTGACACACAAAAATCAGAATAAACGCTCAATAAAGACTGGATGTAATAACCTCCAATCCTAACCTCCACATAAGCTTTGTAGAAGCAAATCAAAATCAATAAATGGGTCACCTGGAGGATGAATATGAATGTGTATCTTTATTATTAATTATAGAACAACTTTTTAAATTACATAATAATAATTTAATAATAATTTATTATTTATACCTCGCCCATCTGGCTGGACTCCCCCAGCCACATAGTGAAATTGATAGTGTACATAAGTGGCACAATTCCTGACTCTGAAGGAGAGTACCTCTTAAATGCAATGTCAAAGTCTGAATGCCACAGGTATCTCCCTGTTGAGGATATAGGCATTGGAAGCTTTGCTGGTCACACAGGTATTGGTTACACAGTAAAATGTATATTTTTCTCCAAACTTGTTAAATTTCTAACCACATAAATACCTTGAGCTTAGAGTTCCCTTGTTAGCAAAACATTCATAAATGCCAGAGTCCAACCAAGTTAAATTCTTGCCTGATAGAAAACCTGGTAATAGCAGAAGTTGCTTTGCAACTTACACATGCAAGTCATGATTTGATGTTGTAGTCCTCAAGTTATTAATATGCATGGGTAAACTAGCAAAGTTGTAATTTGTTTATTATGTGTATTTGTATATCAAGATCCTATCTGGAACCCGCATATGGGTTTTGTTGAAGTTAGCTGAACTACGCAAACAATCACTCAAACGAAGAGTAATTAAAATTTCAGGATTCCTTAATAAATACAGATTGCATTCCTGAATTAGTTAATACTATATTAGTTGATACTAACACAGTGTAATCAAGCCCTGTGTCTGCTCTATAGCGTGTGGTCCTAGGATGTGTATTATTAAGAGATAAATTAAATGTTTGTATGCTTTCATTTTTCTTTTATTTCTTTTAGGCAGAGCTCACAACCTGGAGATGAAAAAATGTTTAGCGATTCATCATTACTGGAAAACCTCCAAAACAAACATGTAAGATATAGAAATAAATACTATGTTTTTACGAAGAAAAAACGGAAATTCAGCAAAGCAAAAGGAGTCTATCACAAACAGGAAACTTAATTCATATTCCAGTCATCTGCACATGTACTTTCAATAAAGTCACATCGATTTAAATAAGATTTACTTTCATAAGAGTCTAACTAAAAGTGCCAAGTAAACGCTGGTGGCCACTTTTGTAAGAGGAGGATGTGGTTTGGAGCAGAGAACCAGTGACCAGCGGGGTAGCCTTTTCTACTACAAAACCCTATTCCCATCACAGCTTTAGGTGCCATCTACCCATGCAATCTAGATGAGAGTCCCATGCCTGCCTGTTATTTTCATGGAAGGAAAGTTCTCATTCACTCCAGCAGGATATTTACCACACACACACACACACCACACACACGTGTAGCAGGTTCAGGGGCTCCATTACACTGTCTCTTTGTAAAAAAGTGTCATGAACTTAAAGACAAAACACGTGACCAACACAAAATGTATTTTGACCCTTCTGTTTCATTACCTTGATCCTTTCTCTCTTGCTGTCCACTTCTATTTAACTCCTTGCACATCCAGACATCTTCCCTTGCAAATATTTAAATGGCATTTTAAAGTATCTCTTCTCTCAAGTTCTTAAACCCTGAACTTCCCTTATCTTTTTCCTTTCCTTTCATTTGTGTCCCTTTCCTGTTCCTTGTCTTTCTTAGATTTAAGCCTGCTTAGGGGTTTATTATGTTAAATTCAATTTATGTTCACATTCAATCTGTTATAATTATTCCAGCAGGAATCCTTTAACTGGTGCATCTTGGGAGCACTAGTCCCCTGTATTAGCTTGCTTGACTCTCTGTTTTCCTTGAATAGCAGAAATATATGCCCTAAGAATATACTGTTTAAGACAATATACTGTTTAAGACAAGTCTGTGTCCCACTAATACCTTCCCATGTCTTCTTGTAGTTGACTGAAAATAAAACAAGACTTGAGTATGATAAAAAAATAATATACTCTCCACAGCTACGGTTTGAACTATTCTTATATGCTTATAGCTTTAAATTTTGGAATGAGGCATAATTAATTTGTATTGTTTTGTGTGTGTCTGTTTTAGCCAACTGCACCTATAATTTGTGAGTTTCTAACTATGATGGCAGTGTGTCATACAGCAGTTCCAGAAAGAGAGGATGATAAGATCATTTATCAAGCAGCATCTCCAGGTAAGGTCATTGAAACCTGTGAAGAACGTTATACCCTTGTTGAGCGGATTGACTAAGTTGATCCAAAAAAAATTTTTTTTAAGTGACATAAAGTCAGCATATTATTAATGAGTAGGTTACGCTCCTCTATTGATCACAATGCATTTCTGTTGTAAACATGTAAGATCATAGTGGGGACTCACCTGGTAAATCACTAGAATAAAGGATTTTCTTAGGTACTTATTACCAGTGCTTTTCTTCTAGGAAAAGGTGCTGGTACTGCTTACCCTTGAATACCCCTAGAAAAGAAGCACTGCTAATTACAACTTGATTGCGTCAAGTTAGCACAACTGCAAGCAGAAGCATAGTGTAAGGGCACAAAAAAATAGTTTTTTGTGCTGCCCGGGCTGCAGGTGCTCCCCATCCTGCTCACCTGCCTCACCTGAGCAGCCCGCCATGCAGTAGCTGGGAGAGGACGGGTCCTTGCATCTCTCAGCCGTACGGCATCCCCCGCAAACAGGGGAAGTGAGCAGACAGCACAACCAGCGGCAGTGGTGGCACCCCAGCCCGAGGTGGCACACACAAATGTCACACCACTGCTCCACAGCTCCGTCCCACAGCAGCAGTACCACCTGGAGGCACCCGTTAGGGAGTGCAATGCTTTCTTTACCCTGGACCCTGGCAACCCACTCTATGCCACCAACAGCAAGTTTGCAAAACATGTGTTAACAGCCTTTCACCCTATGTATTCTCCGTTCTTGTGGGGGATGTGGAAGCAGGGTTAAAAGTATGGATCACTTCCTAAGCAGCGCTTCATTTGCAGGAAACACCCTTACTTGCTGGAACAGCCTTTGATTTAAAAGCCATTGACTCACTTTCAGTTTAGAACTGAAATATCCTAGTTTAGAGATGCCAGATAAGGAATTTCTTTCATATACAGTAGACAAAGGGGAAACTGAGTAACAGAGGTAGGAAGAGGTTGAAAGGCTTTACCAGGAACATTAATCACACGCATTAAAGAGTAAATACACCAGGAAACTTTAAATGTGCAATTTTTCTTCCCAATATTTAAGACATGAACTGCAGAGTATATAAAAATCGATATTTCAGTGTTTGCACTTTTATCAATTTGCTAGTCAAATAACAAGGAATGGTTTGTTACAGATGAAGGAGCATTGGTTAGAGCAGCCAAGCACCTCCATTTTGTTTTCACTGGAAGAACACCAGACTCTGTGATTATAGAATCTGTAAGTACATCTAAAATAGTAAAGATTTAACTGTTGTTGCTAATAGTTTTATTAATACAGAAAAAAACTTTTGGAAAACATTTTTAAAAGACTGAATTAATCATGATTTCATTTTTTTCCCCTAGCTTGGACAGGAAGAAAGATATGAAATGCTAAATGTGCTAGAATTTACAAGGTAATTAAACACCTGTGAATTTTTTCTTGTTTAGTGTTTAAGAAACAGTTTTTTCTTAGGTAAAGGAAGTCTCTTTTTGAAAAGGAAAAGTTTGAGAAAATGGACATTCAAAGCGTAATTTAATTCATGAACCGTCCTACATTTGGGCTTTTAAGCACAACAAAATAAGCTAGAAAACTAGAGAAGGACATTGTGTGTGAGAGACAGTGTGTAATATAGCGATAAAGTACAAAATAAGATTTTTAAAGAGACTGATAAAAGCACAAAGCAATTAAATGAACAAAAACATGAAAATATGCAATTCATTGTCCACAGAAATAGTACAGCTGTATTTATTAATTATTAAATAACCCTTAACACCTCATATTGCTAATTTTCTCATTCCAACAACATAAATTTAAAACAGCATTATATTGAATCTTTTTAGTTACTTACCCTTCCCAGTGTTTCTTATAGTACATAATTTATAAATAAATTATAATTCTATTGTCATATACCATTTCCCCCAGTCTTTTAATATTGGGCGGGGGGAGTTCTGCCCCTCATTTTTTAAAATAGAAAACATGTGTGAAAAGACCACTCTTATTTTATCAAAACTTACATTGTTTCATAGATGGAATATTTTGCAAACATTTGTAGGGCGGGGAGGGGGTAGGCTTCATATTTTAGAGGACATTTATTTTCTCTCTCCGGTAAACATTTTCTCATTTCAAGATATGTGGAATCTATGCTTATGCTCCATTTTATATATGTTTATTGTATAAGTCTATCACACCCCACTAAGTTGCTTAAAACCTGTTTGAAATGGAACATGCCTTTCATTCAGTTCTAGGAAAAGAATGTCTGTGATTGTCCGCACACCTACAGGAAAATTAAGACTTTACTGCAAAGGGGCTGTAAGTTGTTGGCGATGTTGTTGTTGTTTTCATTTTCCATTTCTTTGCACTATTTGCTATCAAGGATAGAGATTACCGTTTTATGGAATGGAAAGACGTCCCTGCATTTACAGTGGTGGTTTTTTGTATTATTAATACATGGCAGGTGACATTAAGTGGGGAAGAGAATTCCTTTGAACTACAGATTCTCATAATACAGTTTTAGAGACTACATCCCAGAATCCCTAGTGCATTCCAGCAACACTGAGATGGTGGTCCATGGGGCCTACATTTCAATCAGCACTCTGAACTTGATTTCTCACTGAAAACCTGAATCACAATAAGTTAATCTCATACTCCCATGCATGTAAGATGTTCTCAGTTGGGATGAGCTTCCCCTCGTGGGTGGAGGCAGGAACACCGAGAGAGGTTCTGAATCCTTCATTCATTCCTGTCTTTGCATGAAGCAGGTGCTGGGTACACTCTCAGTCTTGTCTTCTGTAGCTCAAGCCTGAATAGTGTAGCGTGCGTGGTTATGTTTTATTGTTTCAATTTTCTGTTATTTTGTAGCATTAGTCATTGTCTCTGTTTTCCTTTGGTCCTTGTCTTGGTGACTGTGGTTTAAATGTTTCTCCTCCATGTCAGTGTTGTTAGTTCCCTCGCTCTTGGTCCTGGTGTTATCTACCCTCAGCATCCTGCTACTGTGTTTTTCTTATTCTAGTACATTCCCCATTTTGTAGAGCCTGTGTTTTTAAATACTTTTTAAAAGTAGTATATTGTTGCCTCCCTATTCCTTGATCTCTCCATCTGTCTGTCTACCTTGGCCCAAGCCCTTCTAAGTCTTCATCCTGTTTCCTAGTTTCCTATGTGCTCCAAGCTTTAGACTTCAGCAGCAGTGAGCACACATAAACACCTAAAGCAGGACTGGGAAACTTTTGGCCTATTGGACCACAACTCCAATCATCCCCAGCCTTTGGCCATGCTCTAACTGGGGCTGATGGGAATTGTAGTCCCACAATATATTGAGGACCAAAGGTTCCCCATCCATGCTACCATAATGGGGATAGTGTGTATTATCTGTGTTTTGCAGGATGCTCAGGTTATGCTTGTAGGCTAAGGTTGAATTACACATGTGCTTTGCATGGTATGGTCCTTTCCCTTTTCTGGAATCTTAAGCTTTTTAGTTTGGTTTGGTTTGGTTTGGTTTGGTTTGGTTTGGTTTGGTTCTTTTGCCTATCCTGCACTAAGTTACGGCTAGGATTTGCTTGTCTGTCAACCACCACTTTAAAAAGAAATGCATTATTGTGTACTGATGAAATATCAGACCAGTTGCATAAATCATCAAATATATGAGAAGAAAAGGTGATAAAGGGAAGGCAAATGTCATAAATGACAGCTAAATGGCAGGTTTAGGCTGTGTGTCAATTAGAGGCACTACTGTGGGTTAAAGAGTCCTGTAGACTGTACCTATTTAATAAGGAAGTATATAGCCTTGGACAATCCACCAGTGACATAAGCACCAAACATTTGCAGTACAGATCCCATAAATCAGTTACATATCAAATTTGCAACTGGCCCACATACTACAGTAAAGGCTGTGAACATTGGCTGTATTGCACTGGTGCAAATAAAACTGCCACAGAATTTGTTGAGTAACAGGTATCAAAAATCTGCTTTTCAGTCATAACCTTAAAAAACATTTCTGTGTGACTTTTTTCTGAAAAGCGTTGTACAAATATTCTGCATAAATAAATAAATTAATAACAGTATGATGATTTACAGTCAGACTGTAGTTATTATAGATTTGCATTCCCTCTTTTAATCCCCCCCCCCATTGCTTTGTAAAAGAAATCTTGCTTCAATTTGTTTTGTGCAATTACAGGACACAGTAATTTATGATCGCCTGGCTGAAAATTCAAGATACAAGGAAATTACCCTGAAACATTTAGAGCTGTTTGCTACAGAAGGTATTATTATTTGCATATTAGTTGGTTATGTAGAAAACCATTAATGTAATAACAATACTATGATTTTGTAACAATTGGTGGTTATTGTAAAAGAGCCCTCACTTTGTTCATTAAAGTTAGTGCAATGTAGTGTAGTGGTTCTTCCTTTTTCATCGTGACTGATAGATGCCTTTACGCATGTACATAACTTGATTCCTCTTCCATTGATTTCTCTGCCTTTGATTACATTAGGTTGGTAGATGAATGTGTGAAATGATCTCATTGAGAAGCATAGTGTTTGAGATAATATGAGGGAATGTGAAAGGTCTTTCTGAGTATTATGCTCATGTTGGTCCGTTCACACATGTAAGTAGCAATACAATGCAACAGTTATCAAAGGAAAAAGAGCTTGTGCAAACAAATACAAAATTTTAGTTCATCTTGAAATTTAAGTTTTTGATTGGATCAAAAGCATCTGATACATTTAGCAATTACCCATCTTGAAATTTAAAATTTTGATTGGTTCAAAAACATCTGATACATTTAGCAATTACCTATAACCCAAACCAGGAGCACTTCTCTTATAAAGGAGGTGGTGATTTTTCATGGAAGAGTAGCAGATTGGTGGCAAATGTTTGCAATTATGTTGTCAGATGCTCACATACAAGCTGGCTGTCCTCTGAGAGGAATACTATCTTTGTAATGGAGTGGTCACATTCTTTTGGATTCATTATAACTAATTATCCGGACGCAACATCATTTCTCATTTCCATATGTTGGTGTATTAATCAAATTAGCGCAATACTTTTGTGTTTATTTTGTATGATTTACTTTTATGTCTTAGTCTGCTTTCCTAAATATTTATTTTTGTTTTCAGAATAATAGTTTGTGCTTTGGTGTTCTGAACATCTTTCCTTGACTTGAGTTGCAATATTGTATAGGTGGGGTGGTTTGAAAGTTATGGTAGTTCCCATTGTTTCTGGTGTACCTGAATACCTGTGAACATTTTGATTGTAGCACTAACGTGAAGCTACTATATACTGGAAGAATCTGGAGTTATGATATGCTGTTTTTTAGAAGAAGTAGGGGGTGCATCATATGAGGTGTAGATGTTGCTTCTGTCTGGATATCAGTGTAAGATAAAAATGGTTCTGTGGCTATTTTATATATTCAGGAAGCATTTTTTTGTTTCCAGATTCTAAACTCTACTACAAACTTAGATGATAAAGGATATTTGAGATGCGAGGTACCATATGAAACCAATATTGTAAAATGATAAAGAAATGAATAATTATTGAACCTTGTATGACCATTTTATTTCCTTAGGCTTGAGAACACTTTGTTTTGCCGTTGCTGAGATTTCAGAAAATGACTACCGAGAGTGGCTAAACATCTATCAAAGAGCTGCAACTGCTGTACAAAATAGAGCGCTGAAACTTGAAGAGAGTTATGAACTAATTGAAAAAGTAGGTGTTGTGTGTTGCCTGAATATGTTACTTGTATCTGGCATATCTTGCATCTTTTGAAGCTAATGCTGATCATGTTTAGAATTTTATTGCATTTCAGTTTGCTCAAACAATTTAAAAAGGAGTCCAAAGCCCCCTTATACTGAGCTGACACGTGGTGAATTATGTGGAGGCATCCCTCAGTCCAGCTCTCTTGGTTGAGGCTGGGGAACAAATGATCAGGAGTTTGATCAGTGAGTTGCCCGTCATCGGTAGCCAGCATAAAGCCCCCAAATAGGGTGTTCCATGGGTGGGAAGGCAGCAGAACTGAGCCAGACTGGATCTTGCGAATCAGACCTGATTTGGACATACTGTGCTAGCCTTGAGCTGGCGCAGAGATCAGTCCAGATCCTGCCTCTCCACCTTCTACTAAAGATGCAGGGAGGGGAGTGGAAGTGGTTTGAATTGTACCATAAGTCTATTTTGGAAAACCCAAAATATGGCCAACATACTGATTTGAAACAAAGCCTTTTTAATTTAATTTGTTAAGCTTCATCAAATAAAGCTTTTTATGCCTTGGGTTACTGGACCTAGTCAGTTATATACAAGAAAGCTTTCCCTCGCTAAGGCCATCCCTTCCCAAATGTCTTGCCCATGTCCTCAAAAATACTACTACTGATAAAATGCCTAATGCCCCATGGTTTTCCAGAGTAGCAGGAAAGAGAATGAACTGTCTCAAAATGAATGATCACTTCTAAAAAATGGTAAGGAGGCCAGAAAGATCCAGATGATTTCCTCCTGCTGCTATTGCTGTTCCCAGAAAGAATGAATGTAAGAACAAATCAAAATAGACATGAAGAGCAAAGAGTTGCAAATTATACATTAAGGCATTCAGCCCAATTCCAAGTAAACATTGAAAATAAGTGTCACTGAAATATTTCAAAGTAAATGCTTCTTTAGATTATGCTTTTTTGCCCAGAGTCCCTGATTCTGTATTTAATAATTTTTTTTTACATTCAAAACTGTATTTGTGGTGGTGGTTGTTGTTGTTTAAAAATCTCTCTGATATGCTCTTTTCAAAGAATCTTCAGCTACTTGGAGCTACAGCCATAGAAGATAAGTTACAAGACCAAGTGCCTGAAACAATAGAAACTCTAATGAAAGCAGATATTAAAATTTGGATTCTTACTGGAGATAAGCAAGAGACTGCTATTAACATTGGTAATGTGTAAGACTTCAGTCTTCATGCTACATTGTTCTTTTACGTCTTTAAATAATAGTAAAATAATAATAATGGAAAGAAATAGGCATTTGTGTACTGGAAACAAGTGAATGCTGCTCTTTCTGACCTAGACCTGCATTTACCCTAAAGGTGCCCTGAGATGCAGGTGTCACTTATGAGAAAGCGCTTCCTCTTAGCTACAGGCTAGGATGCAAAGATGAGAGACAGAGTGCCCTTGCCAAGCTAGAAGGCAACAGGATATTTCTGGCTTGAGAAAGAAGAAATAAGGCCATTCACCGTGCTGCCTCTCCTCTCCCCCTTACACCCCCCCCCCACTGAGGTAGACTCATTGCTAAGGCACAAGCTAAACCCCAAAGTGGCTTTTTCTCTTGCCACTTCACCATAAAGAGGAGCAAGCAAGACGCTATTCACACTGCCCCTCCCTCTCTCCCCTGCCTGGGGAAGGCATGATCCAGAGAGCCTGACTACAAGTATCAAACCATCTTTTGCCTGTTGGTAGCGGCGGACATTCATTCACAGGGTCCAGGTTCAGAATGCCTTTCTCCTCCTCCCCAGGAGAAGGAGTTGCTCCGCCCCCCAGTGTGACCCTCCCCATGGTCAAAGATAGTTGGGGTCATTTCAGGTCCTCGGGTGCCCTGTGTTTTCCTCTGCCCCTTTCATGAGTTTCATTTCCCTCTGTCCTCTCCTCTTGTTGTTGGTTCTTATGTTAGGTGGGTATACACATTTGTTTCAGATCCCTTCCTTTACCTATTTCTCTCTCCTTGCTTGCCCACTCCATCTGGTGTGTCTGTGGGGTTTTCCCCCCTTTTGTCACTGTTTCCCTCTCCCTTTTTGCTTCTGTGGGTTTGGGAGATCAGGTTGCTGGTTACTTTATGGGGTAGGTTTGGTCAGTTGGGGTTCTCCTTGTGCCCTTTGGGGCCAGAACTGTGATCAGACCAGAGGTATGCTCAGCTTATGCTGCGATACTTGCAATACAGGACAAGTCTGTATTAAGAGACACATTTTTCACAATTCCTGTACTTGTGGTGTAGTGGTTAAGAGTGGTAGTCTCATAATCTGGTGAACCAGGTTCACGTCTCCGCTCCTCCACATGCAGCTGCTGGGTGACCTTGGGCCAGTCACACTTCTCTGAAGTCTCTCAGCCTCACTCACCTCACAGAGTGTTTGTTTTGGGGAAGGAAGGGAAAGGAGAATGTTAGCCACTTTGAGACTCCTCAGGGTAGTGATAAAGCGGGATATCAAATCCAAACTCCTCTTCTTCTCTGGAATACAGGATCACATTTGTGACAGGGATTGGAGAGGTGCGTTCTCTGATTCTAGCTCAGAGAGGAGCATGGCTCTGTCAGTTTTGTGCCTTTTTTGGTCTGCAAAGCATATAGCTGTTCTCCTTATGGCCGCCCCTGCTGACTCACCACATTACAGCATGACAGAAAGAGAGAGATTGGACTGTACTGTCTCCCTCACCCAGAGCCTCACAAACAGATGATTTTCCCCCTTCCCCTGCAGTGGGAACTCCCCATATTCTTATCAAAGATGCACACATGAATATCATTGAAGATCCAATGGTGCAGGTGGCTGGCCCTGCTGGCAGGGATAGGTCAAAGGGCAGACAATCCCATAAATCCAGGCATAAAAGTCAAACACCAACACTAATTTCTCTTAATAAAATATTGTATTTCTTTCTAACAGGGCACTCATGTAAACTCTTGAGAAAGAACATGGGGCTACTTGTCATAAACGAAGGCTCTCTTGATGTAGGTATAATAGAAAAAAACGTGCTAATGCCTATGTACTATCATTTACAATGCATGGGTCTCTGGAAAACCTTTAAACCATCAGTACGTGTTTGGATCAAATTACTAAAAATATACAATATGCAGAAAAGCATGTATGTGGCTGACACATATATCCCCTGGTAAAGCTAAAGGACCGCTGACCATTAGGTCCAGTCATGGCCAACTCTGGGGTTGCGGCACTCATCTCGCTTTATTGGCCAAGGGAGCTGGCGTACAGCTTCAGGGTCATGTGGCCAGCATGACTAAGCCGCTTCTGGCGAACCAGAGCAGCGCACGGAAACGCCGTTTACCTTCCCGCCGGAGCAGTACCTATTTATCTACTTGCACTTTGACGTGCTTTCGAACTGCTAGGTTGGCAGGAGCAGGGACTGAACAACGGGAGCTCACTCCGTCGCGGGGATTCGAACCGCTGACCTTATGATTGGCAAGTCCTAGGCTCTGTTAGCATCTAATAAAAGAATTCAGCTTTTTCTTGCTGCTGCTCCAGTTCTTGTTCTTCTTGGAGGGGGCAGGATAACACTGAATGCAATGAAGTTGTGTCATGTGTTTATTTTACTAGATTTTATCAGAGAGAGAAATATGGGTTGGTGACAGCGATGCATCCTTGTAAAGTCGAGCCAGTCCCTGACTCGTCTCGCCTCACTTCAGATGCTTCCTAATTTGAGATTCAATGTAGCTGACTCTTTGTATGCCACCAGAGGGTGGTACTGAGTTACTGAACTTAAATGACATACAAAAAGAACAAAAAGACAAGGACAATATGTAAAAATAGCAAGTGATAAGTGATACAAATTGAAGTACTGATACAGTATATTGGCTAAGAGTAAGAGCTATGCATCCATTCAAATCTCACCTCCATAATAAACTTTATAGGTGGCCTTAGGCAAGCTATTACTCTATTAGCTTCATCTCTTCAATCCCATCTGCAATATAGGGATAATATTAATAGCCTACCTTACATGGGTGTTGAAGATGTTTTAAGTGGCATGCTTTGAAAGCTTGAAATGCTCTCCAAAAATTGCAAAATGTTAATGTTGTACAAGAATGTGAACATGCAAAAAAGAAGAAGTAAGTTAATGCTTGGGAATTCTGTGGATTTCCGTAACATTATTCTTCTTAGTAGTAGGATGTGCTTAATAACTGAATTCCTTGCTGTGGGTCCCATTATACTGAAATGGCATAATTTGATCAGTTCCTGAAAACAGAGAGCACCAATGAATATTGAGAATCTGATTTTAAGATAGTTTGCACCCATACCGTTCATGGCTAAAATAGTAAATTCCATTCAGCTGAAGGGGGAAATGAAAGAACTACAAGTGTTATAAATCATGGAATTTACATTTCTGTAGGTCAGTGGTCACGAGGCTTTCTAGGTCAGTAGGCACTGGTAATAATACTCCTAGCTAATGAATCTGTAATAAAAGGCAACAGATTACATCGATGTAATCCCAATGAACTTGATAGCAGTATACCTGTGTACGTAGTAAAAAAAGTCATCCACTAAATATCACCCCAAGAGGGTCTCCTGGCTTTTACAGTGGGATTTTTATTTTCCCTGGCTATTTTCCCTGTGGCAATACTGATGTGGTCCTTATTCATCTTTGTTGTTTTAAAAGCTACTGATGTATTAGTTACATCAAGGCAGAATATAATAGTTTCATAGTTAATTGATAAATGTATATCAAAAGTATAAAACTGTTCAACAGAATTGAAGTGATTTATATTTTTGGTGGTGATTTTTTTTACAGGCAACAAGAGAGACATTAAGCAATCATTGCAGCACTCTTGGTGATGCTTTGAGGAAAGAAAATGATTTTGCTCTTATTATTGATGGTAAAACACTGAAGTATGCATTGACATTTGGTGTAAGGCAATATTTCCTCGATTTGGCTCTGTCGTGTAAAGCTGTTATTTGTTGCAGGTAAAACTTTTTCTTCTTGAAAACAAAGCATTCATACAATTTTGAGAGGTATAGCTCCTCGAAAAGTGTTTTCTATTGTTAGAATAATTTAGGTTATTAAGTAGTTTTTGGAGTGGGATTTTTTAAAAAAGTACAATATGGGGAAAAAGGCATAATTTTAACAGTCTGCTACAATGCCATGTATCCTCTTTTTCCAGGACATGACCTCTTTTTCGGGGTAAAATTTGGGACAAACTGCATTTATTTGCTTTTAATGGCCATTTTGGTCTTCAAAATATGGCAACCCTACACTTAAAAATATAATTATATGAAACATTTGTTCTTTTGTATTGCATGTGATAAGATCGACAATCATAATTTCTTAGCAATACCACATTTCCTAAAATTCCTAAAGCCTGCCAACTAATTTGGAGAATGGCCTCAGTTCATTCTAGTGCTAGGCTACCATAATTTACTGATTTTGGTTTCTCTTGGCTTCTCCGTTTTCCAATCAGTTTCCTCCATTTCTTTTTCAGTTTGTGAATCTTTAAAAAAAAATCTACATGAAAAAACAATGGCTTCCAGTGTAATGTGAAATCATAGAAGTTACATAAAAAGCATGCATTAGCAATTGTGATTTTCTTTGCTGCCTTACATTTAGAAAAATAAAGTGGTAAAACAGAATTTCTCAACACATTTCTTTTATAGAGTTTCACCTCTTCAGAAATCTGAAGTTGTAGAAATGGTCAAAAAGCAGGTAAAAGTGGTAACACTGGCAATTGGAGATGGAGCAAATGATGTTAGCATGATACAAACAGCACATGTTGGTGTTGGCATTAGTGGCAATGAAGGGCTACAAGCAGCTAATTCTTCAGATTATTCAATAGCTCAGGTAAATCCACTGATAAATGAACTTTTAAAAGACAGTTGTTTCAAGTGATAGATGCTGTGTGCATATACCTAAACTTATTTCCATTATCATTTATAGTTCAAGTACTTGAAGAACTTACTATTGGTCCATGGTGCCTGGAATTATAGCAGAATTGCTAAATGCATCCTGTACTGCTTCTACAAGAATATTGTCCTTTATATTATTGAGGTAATTATGGCATCCTATGCCAGAATATTTCTTTTCAAATTGGAGCAACCTGTGAACTTTTAAAAAACCCATCTACGAAGTGTAGAATTATTCTGTGTGCATTTATTTTTGTGCATTTTACAGTGTTTGCAGGCTCCAATGTACTCACTGTGCTCACAAGTATTTCCTCTTGCCATACGTAGCCAACTGTGAATAGTCTCAGTAAATCTGCTCAAAAATCCACAATGCGTGAGGCTGCTTGCTCTTCCTGCTCTGCTCCTGTTTGCACTGACTTAGCCTCTCCTACATGCCCCCATAGCAGCCATCTTATGTTATGCCACACCCCATGGCAGCCATTTTATGACTGCTGCCCACGGCACTTTCTCAAAATTCCACATGTACTGACTGGTCCATGAAGATTGGCAACCCATATATATATATTCTGGGACGCGGGTGGCGCTGTGGGTTAAAGCCTCAGCGCCTAGGACTTGCCGATCGAAAGGTCGGCGGTTCGAATCCCCGCGGCGGGGTGCGCTCCCGTCGCTCGGTCCCAGCGCCTGCCAACCTAGCAGTTCGAAAGCACCCTCGGGTGCAAGTAGATAAATAGGGACCGCTTACTAGTGGGAAGGTAAACGGCGTTCTGTGTGCTGCGCTGGCTCGCCAGATGCAGCTTTATCACGCTGGCCACGTGACCCGGAAGTGTCTGCAGACAGCGCTGGCCCCTGGCCTCTTGAGTGAGATGGGCGCACAACCCTAGAGTCTGTCAAGACTGGCCCGTACGGGCAGGGGTACCTTTACCTTATATATATATTCTATTTTAATATGTAAAACCCAGTTCAAAATAGAAATACTAATTACTGGTTGCTAATATAAAAGCAGCACACATTTTAACATATTTTTATGGTACATTGTGTCTAAGGCACATCATAATAACATAATTAAAATGAATAAAAATAAATATATACACACTGTGCTTCATCTTCTAAAGATCATGAGCCACTTGAGCAGGAAATCAGTTAATTTTCATCTCCAGCAGGACACATTTTTCACAAATGTGGGATCAATATGGGAATTGTGGTGCCTTCATTCTGTCCATCTACCTCAGGCATAGGCAAACTCAGCCCTCCAGATGCTTTGGGACTACAACTCCCATCATCCCTGACCACTGGTCCTGTTAGCTAGGGATGGTGGGAGTTGTAGTCCCAAAACATCTGGAGGGCCGAGTTTGCCTGTGCCTGACCTACCTCATGGAAAAGGCCTGGCACACAGTTGACATGTGCAGAGCCTTTAAAAGGTGCATAGTTAGAACCAAACCACACCGTCGCACTGAGACCTTGTTTGTCTCCTTCCATCCCACTACTCTGAGCAAGGTGTCGTCCACAGTCGTACCTTGGATCCCAAATGCCTTGCGAGTCGAACGTTTTGGCTCCCAAACGCCGGAAACCCAGAAGTGAGTGTTCGGTTTGCAAATGTTCTTTGGAACCCGAACGTCCGACGGGGCTTCCAATCAGAAGCCGCGCCTTGGTTTCTGAACGTTTTGGAAGTAAAACGGACTTCTGGAACCGATTCCGTTCGACTTCCAAGGTACCGCCGTATATGGAAAACTTTAATAGGCCCTTGCCTATTTAAATCAAGTAATCCTTACGTTTTGTTAATTCTTTAGCAATTTGAATTCCTACTTGTCAGTTCAGCATCCATGAGGATCAGAAATGTACTATTTTAAGAATAAAATTAGAACCAAGTTCCCTTGTGGCCCCCCCAAAAATATTGTCTGTTAAAAGACCAAATCGTTCACAGAAACCAGTCACATCCTTATAAACTGAGAATTTATAATAATGCATACAATTGTGACGTTAAACAAAACATGGACCCCGGCTAAGTCTGTGTCACATTGATTGCTAATTTCATTTTACTAACTTGCTCTTTTTAAACATATATGAATATTTGTACTGTGAAATATTTTAAATCAATATAAAACATTTTGAATTCAAAAGAGAAAACAATGGACAATGGTAAGGTGTACTTCTGAGTGGAATTGTCTTTTTGAATTGTTATATTTTAAATTTATAAGGATCTTTAGTGCTTTTTCATTTAAAGTGAGTGTGATTTGTTACACATTAAAAATTTAGTTTAAATGGATGTAGAATTGACTCCTCAATTGTGTTTTATTGTATGGTCTAATTAAATACTAAACTGTTATTCCCCCACCCCGTTTTTCTTGCTGAAATTGAAACTTTGCTCAGATTTAACACATTTTAAGAGTTAACACCAAATGTGTCCAAATAAGACTGACTAGCTTCAAAAATCTCGTCCTCAGATATGGTTTGCATTTGTTAATGGATTTTCTGGGCAAATACTGTTTGAAAGATGGTGCATAGGACTTTACAATGTGGTAAGATATTGTACCTTATTCATTCTGACATTTGAATTACTGTTAAAATACACTGACTTCTTAACAAATTGATCTCATGGTGTGTTTTGTTTATATGTTAGATGTTTACAGCCATGCCCCCACTGACTCTTGGAATATTTGAGAGATCCTGTCGAAAAGAAAATATGCTAAAATACCCCGAATTATACAAGACTTCTCAAAATGCCCTGGATTTCAACTCTAAGGTAGAAAATAGTTTAGTTATCTTTAGAATAGCATCATATGAATGTACATCCTGTTTCAGTTCCGCATGATTAAAAAGGATTAAATATATGATTAATAATGAAACTATTTTACATCACCACCAGGCTGTAAAATAATTGAATCAAATTCACAAAAATGCAATCCACAAATTGCTCTTCCGCACTAATTTTTCCCTCCATCTTAACGACTGCATAAATAGTAGAGACCCAGCAAGCCTCAAACACACCTTAACTCTGGACCTGGTAGCATACATGAATTTTGTGCCAGGGTTGTTTGCAGCCACAAAGACACTAGACTTGTGTCCTGGAGGCCAGGTAAATCTGCAACTTGACTACAAGCATGGATGAAATGGACCTCGAATTCCTTTCTTCTGCTGCCGGATGGATTCTGTCTGCCAGTGGGGAGGACAGTATTAAATACCATATTTAAAATGAAAATGGCACATGTTTTCATATTTGTCATTCGTGGTATAGGATTTTTTCTTTAAAATGTTTGATACCATATTTTAATATTTTTTGTGTTTTATTCCCATTTATTCTATGGTATTTTGGATTTAAAATGTTTAATTTTAAACTTCCATATTTTATTTTAAATATTTTTAATTAATTTTTCAACAAAAATAAAAAACAAACAAACACAACAACAAAGAAAACTATAGATAGAAGCAATATCCAATCCATAAAATGGGATTCTCTGAACCTCATCCCCCCCCCCCGGGTTCCTTAATTTTCTTTTTCAACTGCATATCATTTCTACTCCAAATTCTACCTCAAATTTCTTACATTATTTCTAAAATTACAAGTGTTCTTAAAATCCTGCCAATGTATTAGCTTGTTTACAGTACTTTTGTAAGCACATAATAAACATTTCCCATTCTTTTTTCAATTTCTTGTCATCTTCATTTCTGAGCTTTCCAGTTAATTTAGCCATTTCAGCGTAGTCCATTAACTTGGTTTGCCAATCTTCTTTGGTCGGGACTGCTTCCTCTTTCCACCTTTGGGCTAACAGTATCCGGGCAGCCTAAACTTCCATATTTTAAAGCTTTTTAAAATTGCTTTTTACAAAGTATGTCGAAGTGACTTAAACAATCAGCACAGAGCAGAAAACAAAAAAGGCAAACTCGGTTTTTTATTCATAGAGTATGTTTTTGTTCTTTGCATTTATTTTGTTGTGGGTCAATAGTCAGTTGCTCATAGTCAGGCCTGGTTAGTACTTATGATGGGAGAATAACCATATAGACTAAACATGCCCCAAGTAATGCAACAAATAATGTGAAAGCTAAATAAACATTTCCAAACTTTAGCAAATTCGGATTAGGTTCTCATATTCATATGATAAACAGTGTTTTTGCAGAATATTTGAAGATTCTTTTTAGTTGTGCGAGTCTCTCCGTTGTGATGGTTTTAATTCTTTGTTAGTTTTAGAAAGCTTTTGATTTTGCTGGGTTTATTTTGAGTAAGTTTTCTGAATAAACGCTTACAGGCTACCTGCGGAGACAGAATGGTTGATTCAGGCTTGATGTGCAGAGGATCTGGAATCATTTGTTGCGTGGGTTTGTTATGTTAAAAAGGGTCAGAGTTTGTAGAGCCACTACGGAGGTTAAAGGATTAGCATGTAACAATAAGTACCGGTCAGGAAAATGGAAAAGTAGGCCTAATTTTCTGGCATCCACCTGTGCCTTCTGTCAAATAAAACTTGTGGCAATGGCATAGCAAGGAGGAGAGAGAAAGGTTAATGAACAACACAAGTTCAAATGTGCTCAAGTATTGTGGCGTAAATTGGATCATAGAACCTTACCTACTTGGGGAAAGTAACAAAGAAGTTGGAGACATAGTGGAACATTTTTTGAGGCAGGCAACTCAATTTCTGTTGTTTGAGCAACTTAAAACTATTAATGCCCTTCTGTTCAACACAATAAAGATTATGTTTTGGGAAAGTATATCTAATTATAAAACATGGGTATCTATTATATGAAAGAATTTCCCAAAAGCGCTCTTCTTACTTCGTTTTTATATAATGTACAAAATGCTGGGTTCCTGTGTTTGACTAGACTTGCCACATTTTAGCAGGTGTTTCTAACATGCATATAGTAAAAAGAAACAATTATAGAAACAATTGTGTAATGAAGAAAACGTCTGTGTGTTTGTGTGTACCAACAACTAATTTGTTTCTCTCTTTTTTCTTTTCACTCTATATTTTGAAATTGTTGTTTTATCATCTGTCCTCATGTTATACTGATAGGATATAGAATGAAACCACAAACACTTAATGCTTAATGCTAATTTAATGCATAATCAGTTAGTAGAACAAAGATGGTTTTACAATTTGGCTTTGGTTTTTCTATAGAAGGCATTCATTTCTTTAAAAACTTAAAAATTAAAAGTGAAAGATAGTGAACATCTTTCGAGAAACATAAACATAAATAAATGACCCATGAAGGGCTGTGAGGCAGAAAATGTATCAGTTATATTAGTTCTTAGCGGTGGTTCTTAGCAGTTTGAAAAACACATTTTCTGAATCTAACTAAAAGATAAAAAGAAGGTCAGAGTTCACACAGTTAGTTTTACCTCAAATGGTTCTCAGGAATGTTTGTTTTCCCTTAGGTTTTCTGGGTTCATTGTTTAAATGGCCTCTTCCACTCAGTAATTCTGTTTTGGTTTCCACTAAAAGCCATCCAGTATGGTAAGTAAATGAAATACAGAATTTGAAAATACTGTATGCATTTAAAATGGCAATATCCAGTGTTATACTAAAGCAAATTTTGTAATGTGATCTTAAATGTGGTCTTCTAACAGATGATCATTATACAGTATTGTCCCTTTTTCAGTTTGGGGAGCTAAAACATCTTTTTAAATTGCTAGTGTCATGTGATTTGGGGTATAATTGTTATGTAATAATGCAACAATGTTATACTAGTCTTATTTTAATACATATCGATAGAAGTTCTTTTTGGATCTGTCTTCTTTCAAGCTGCATAGAGGGTCTTTTTCCAAACTGTGTTGCTGGAGAACTGGGTGTTTATTCAACTTGTAGAGGTTAATTTGGAAGTATGTATGTATCTTCTCAAGTTTGAATTAGTTATAAGCCAAAGGAGATAAACTAAGTAGATCAATAAGTTATAAACCAAAAACCTCAGCTTTATATCAGACTAGTGGTTAGTAAATTAAAAGAAATTATTCTGGCAGAATAAAAACCATGAGTTTGATGCAATTGTTTTCTTTAGTGAATGGAATTAACTTCTTCCAGCAGAAATGGTCTCCTGTCAGAGGAAAAGAACTCTTGGATCTAAGCCATAAGATGTCTTTGGAAATAACGATAAACTGGTTTATTGTTACAGGAATGAGCCTTGGGTTCACATGCTCCCCTCTCCTCTGTTCTCTAGCACAGCTTCAGGGAGGAGATAGGAAGATTTTGCTACAGTTTAATGTTGAATCCTAAACTGTGGTTAATCTTAACTGTGGTGTGTTGAAACAAGCTATAAACTTATTGAAACAAACCATACACTATGGTTTGAATGTTTTATTCCCTGGAAAACATAGTTAAGGTTAACCACCGTTTGTTCTGGTTTGGACATAACACTAATCTGCAGTTAGTTAAAAAATGGAAGTGAAAGCTTTCAATATCATCTGCACAGCCACCTAAGACTTATTCCAATAACGATAAACCATATTTGATTATTACCACCAAACACAGCCATAGAGTCTAACAGGAGAAGTGCAGTGACCAACACATTTTTGCCCAATGAACTTCACCATTTGTACAAGGCACTTCATAGAATCATCAGATTCTAGAGTTGAAAGATACCCCAAGGGTAATATAGTCCAGTCCCCTGCGATTCCGGAAACTCAGCTAGATCATACATGACAGATAACCATTCAACCTCTGCTTAAAAACCTCCAATGAAAAAGAGTCCAGCACCTTCTGAGGGAGCCTCTTCCACTGTTGAACTACTCTCACCATCAGAAAGTTTTTCCTAATACTTTGTCAAAATCTCCTTTCTTGTAACTTGAAACCATTGGTTCGGGTCCTAGCCTCCGGAGCAGGGGAAAAACAAGCTTGCTCTATCTTCCGCATGATAGCCCTTTAGATATTTGAGGATGGCTGTAATATTTCCTCTCAGTCTCCTCTTTTAATAATAATAATAAAATTTTATTTATATCCCGCCCTCCCCAGCCGAAGCTGGTCTCAGAGCTAAACATACCCAGCTCCTTAAATCATTCCGCATAAGGCTTGGTTTCCAGACCCTTGATCATCTTGGCCGCCCTGCTCCAACTTGTCAATATCCTTCTTAAATTGTGGCACCCAGAACTGGACACAGTACTCGAAGTGTGGTTTGACCAATGCAGAAAAGAGCAGTACTATTACTTCCTTTTATCTGGACGCTATACTTCCATTGATGCGGCCTAGAATAACATTAGCTTTTTTTATTGCTGCATCACACTACTGACTTGGGTTAAGCTTGTATTCTACAAACACCCCTAGAACCTTTTCACATGTGCTACTGGCAAACAAGGTGTCCCCCTCTTACATTTGTGCAGTTTTTCTTCCTGCATAAGTGCAGAACCTTATATTTGTCCCTACTTAAATGCTTTTGGTTGTTTGAGCCCAGTTCTCCAATCCATTAAGGTCATGTTAAATCCAGATTCTGTCTTCTGTGGCATTGGCTACCCCTCTTGAGTTTGGTGTCATCTGCAAATTGGATGAGCATAGCCTCAATTCCATTGTCCAAGTCATTTATAAAGATGTTGAACGACAACAGACTCAGGAAAGAACCTTGTGGCATTTTTCCCCAGGATGATGGGAACTCTTTGGGTTCAGTCAGTCAAACCACGTAACAGTTACCTCATCCAGCTCACATTTTACCAGCTTCTCTGCAAGAATATCATACAAAAGCCTTACTGAAATCAAGATACACTAAGTCCACAGGATTCCCCTTATTTACTCAGCTTGTAGTAAAAACAAAAACAGAAATGAGATTCATCAGGCATGACTTGTTTTTGAGAAACCCACAGCATCCTTTTCTAAGTGCTCATAGACCAACCATTTAATTATCTGATCTAGGACCTTACATAGTATTGATGCCAAGCTGACCGGTCAGTAGTTACTTAGGTCTTCTTTGATGGGGACAACAAACCGTCCATATTCTGCCTCAAATTAAAATTGTTTTGTCCATGGAAAGAAACTCAAGGGAAACAGTTCTTTGGCAATTTAAGCAGAAATTTATATTATAGAATCATTTCCATAAATAACCCCCATTTTAATATTTCCGATGTTGTTATCTTACAGATACTGTATTTGCCAGTGGTAAAACTTCAGACTATTTGCTTTTGGGAAACACAGTATATACCGTAAGTATTGCTAATGTGCATGTAACTTGTGTCCTAGGCAGAAGAGCATGCTAGAAATTTGATACTGGGAGATTCTTTATTCCAATCTTAATATTATTATTTTAGCCTGTGGGTTGGTTGGTTGGTTGGTTGGTTGGTTGGTTGGTTGGTTGAATGATGGATTGATTAAACAATTTATATACCATTTAACAAGGTATAAGCACAGTCTCTAAGCAGTGTACAATAAGGTTAACAAAAAAAAACCACTCAGATACAATACATAAAATTAATTAAAATGAACTATAAAATCAGAAAACTTAAATTTGTGCACCCTGGGCAATCAGAGCAGGGTGTAAAACAACTTCTCATAAGAAGCCTTTGTAGCCTCCCTTCAGCAACCCATCAGGTTCAATGTGCTACATCTTGGCCAGCCCATTCCTCTCCAAATGAAGAGTCATCCATACCTCTTAAGACAGATTTAACCTGTTCACCTTTTGCATGCCATTCCAAAAGCAAATTTTGAAACGTCATACTTCACTTGGAGTTGAAGCACTATTATATTGGTTAAGGAAAAGTAGCTAATTTCTCTCTCTCTCTCTCTCTCTCTCTCTCTCTCTCTCTCTAGTTTGTAGTAATAACTGTGTGTTTAAAAGCTGGATTAGAGACTTCATATTGGACTTTGGTAAGAAATTATTTTTAAAATAGCTCATGTTACAATATATAATAAAGTGATAAGTGTAAATTTACTGTAATTTATGTAACAGAGTACTGACCTATATAGGTTGACGAGGGGTTAACTGGGTTGGGTTTATTCAAAGAACACCTGCATAGAAATCGGCAATATTAATAGACAAAATAGGCATGCTAATCTGCAAATTCTGATAGCAATAAACCAAGGAAAAGAGGGAATGGGATAGAACTATAATCCTGTCTACCCAGAAGTAATTCCTATTGATTTCAGTGGGGCTTAAATAGAATGCAGCTTTAGTCTGGCTCTAACCATAAAGGAAACGTATTTTCTCCTATTGACCTATTTTGCAGGTTTGACTGTTTGATTTTTATTCTTTCTTTTCCAGTTCAGCCACATAGCAATATGGGGCAGCATTGCACTGTGGATAGTATTTTTCGGAATCTACTCTTCCTTGTGGCCTCTAATTCCTATGGCCCCTGATATGTCTGGGGAGGTAATGTTCACCTTTTAACTAATTTCTGAATCTCTATGTAAAACCATACTTTTATTTTTGTTTGAGAATTGATTGGTCTGAGATTAATGACGTGCAGCCTATTATCTCTTCAGAACAAGCAGACTTTGGACATTTTGGCTTTGAGGTATCAGGTTTTCACAAGTTCTAAAAGCATTGACAAGTCTTTTGGGGTTTTTTGTGTGTGACCAATAACACCAGTTAATTGTAATTTGCATTTAAAACTGTTGGCTATATATCCCTGGGAGCCAAGTTTGCATCAGATTCCATTTGGTTTCATAAGACCAAAAGGGAAGGGTTATAACCAGAAGAGACTTGGCATAAACCACGACTCTCATACATTAGTATAAATTTGTAAACCACCAACTGAAGAAAACAGAATCCGTCCTCAGAACAGGCTGCCCCTGTTAGCGCCATTGTCTAAAATGGATCAGTTTGCCATTTCCCAGCTGACCTGCCTATGTGCAGAGAGATGTGAAAAGTTTGAGACAAAAATGCTTCTACTGATCAAGGAGGGAGCTTTCTTGTACAGAAAGGAAGGAAATACCTCGGTGGGATTTTATTTTTTCTCCCTCTTCATCCAAATATACAAAGAGGCCTTCTGTCTTTAATGCGAATGTCGGCTTTAAATCTTTTAGTTTTGGATTAACTCTGCAAAAGAAAAAAATGTGACAGGCTTTCAAATATGACGCAGAAAAACTTTTTCCCCCTTCAATTCATTTTCTTCGTTTGTAAAGCCAAAGGCTGGATTGACTGAATGGTAGGCGCCAGTTTGTTCCTTCTTTCATAGTTAGCATTACAATGGTAAGAATTAACATCCTAAGACCTACATTATCACTTCTGCTGTTTCACCAAGGAACGTTTAATAGCGGGTGGCTTACAGAACGATAGCTCTTTGCTCTGTTACCCTAATCTTAAAAAGTCATTAATTTAAAAATAAAAGTATGTTGTTTAAATCGCATCTAGATCCATTTTTGCCTCCTGTTTTCTTATTCAGGACTTTCTGTTTCTTGCATTCTATAAAACTTTTACCTCACAGTGTTTGCTTGGGAGTGGTGGCTTTAAGAATTGGCTATGTTGTCTAACATGACAAAAGTCACGTTTTCCATTATAACATTGTTTATAAGTTAAATTATGTTCTTTATCTTGCTCGTAAATCCACTTTTCCTTAAAACTGACTTTTAGTATTGAAACAGTTTTTGAAATTGCTTTATTTAAATTTTCACTTTAGCACTTGTGACATTAAATTAATCCTGCTTTACTTTTATATATTATTGTCTTAATGCTGCGATCTTCCTTGCACACAGGTGCTTGTTAAAGCATTACATACAAACTTGGCCTTTTTTTGGCGGAGGGTGGGGGTTAATTGCCTAATAACCTCCCTCTTGAAAGAATCATAAGCTGCTCTTTATATCAGATGGCATTTGAGTAGAATAATCAGCATATTGGTATTTTCCCTGAGCACTAGTCACAATTAATAGGGTTAGCAGTTCTGATCACTGGCCCCAAGACCCCTTGAATTCTCAAAGTTTCTGGGAAGGAGATTTTTGTAAAACATCTCCCTTGAAATGAGGACATCGCTCTTTAATTGGCCTTTTCCTACAGCTGAAGGTGAAGAAGGAATTGTGAAATTTAAATTGATACGTGCCAGTCAATCCAAAACCGGTAGTGCCTTTATTTATGATTTGCTTATTTCGTAAAATTTACATGCGGTTTGATTGTAAGGAAAAATCTCAAACCAGTTTCTCCTGCTCTCTTGTGCATTGGGGGATGAATAGTGATAGACAGCTGCTGGCAATGCTTTTTCTACATAAGTCTATAAGGAATACCAACATTCCCTCATTGACACCCCTTAGTGAACACATTCCCAGTGGCTGAATTTTTCAATAGGTTACTATTTTTTCCACCATATTACCTAGCTTCATCCGAAAAGTTTTGTATTTCTTTTCTATAAATAACGCCGTTGTTTAAATCCATGTAGGCAGTTATGATGTTCAGTTCTGGTGTTTTCTGGATGGGCTTACTAAGCATTCCGCTGACAGCTTTGATCTTCGATGTAGCATATAAAGTGTAAGTATAAAACTCTTTATATATGTTTTTTAAAAGAAATTAATGCATCCATGTCTTAGTAACCCAAAGTTCTATTTAGAATGCTATCCTGTACATGGGGCTTACAGTCAAGTAAGTGCGGATAGGGTTGTACATGTCTACTCAGAAGTAAGACTCATTAACATCAGTGTCTTCATTCCCATGTAAATGGGTATAGGATTGCAGCCTTTTCCTACTAAATTATGATTCACCTTTATAGAAGGCTTATAGACCCATTAATGCAAATTTGTGCAGATGTTAATTCTGTAAAATAATTGTTTTTCATATAAATTATAATCTGATAGTTAATATAAAATGCTGAAACAGAGCAGACATGGTTTCTGAAGTATACACCTGTGAACTGAATGCTTATTTTTATAATCTCTCTCCAACCGTTAATTCTAAAAATTTATTTACAGTCTGTACTCTGTGTAAGCTACTGAAGTGTAACATGTATGTGCATTCTTATGCAGCATTACTTTGAAGCTTAACTTTATATTGGTGTATAAAATAGATTTTTATACTGAAGATTTCTGTTTTAGTTTCTCTCAAATTTCAGCTTCGGTATGAGTTACCCAAAAGCATTTTTCATTGCAGAGTGAAAAGAGCAGCATTTAAAACACTGGTAGATGAAGTTCAGGAGTTGGAAGCAAAATCTCAAGATCCAGGAGCAGTTGTTCATGGGAAAAGGTACTATAATACCTGTAAATAATCCACATCATTGCAGAAGTAGAACCCCATTGTAATGTTGTTATGAAGCATTGCAATACCTTAGGGCTGATCCACACTTGCCAGCAAAATCTTGACTTTCATTGTTTCCTTTAAGATACTCTCCTCTTTCTTAATTGTGAAGCATTCAAGTCATAAATGTCACTGTGGAGATCCCATTCGAAAAGCAGAGGTTACTGGCATGTCTGATGGTTCTCTGCATTCATTGCTGTGTCTTAGGTTCTCCCATAAGTAGGAATTTAAAGAGCCTATGATGAAGAATTGCAATTGCCAATAAATAATCTCTTTTACAGTGCAGGCGTATTCATGCATATTCAGAAGTCCCATTGAGCTCTGTGAGACTTACTCCCAGGAAAGTAGGTATAGGGCTGCAACCCTAGACAAAAGTGGTTATATCCACTAATCTGAGAGTAGGATTCAGTGAACTCAGTTGGACTTAATTCTTAGGATTGTGCTTTTAGTTAACATGCCACACCCTGCTTGATAGCCCCTGCTGAACACTGAATATTGTTTCACAGCACTGGGTCATTATTTCAGATATTAGTGTGTTGACATTTTATTTTTTAGCTTAACTGAAACAGCTCAGCTACTGAAAAATGTCTTCAAGAAAAACCATGTCAACTTGTACCGCTCTGAGTCTCTGCAACAAAACTTGCTTCGTAAGTATTCGAGATTTGACAGAAATAAGTACAAATCCAAAAGACAGAAATAGCAGAATCACAGAGCATGAATACACTTGGTTCTGCTTTCATATTTATGTTTGGCCCCGTTAAATTACATTTCTTATTGCATAGCTTTAGTCACACACACCATGATTTTTAACGTTGGTTTATTATTGTTATCTTATTGGTTCTTATTGTGAGATGCTTTGAGGACTTCAAAATGAAAAAGAGGGATACAAGTGTTTCCAAAAAAATATGCCAAGATGGCTTTTAGAAGGCTATTAATAATAGATCCTGCGTGCTTGGCTCCCCTTGCTCAAGATTTAATCGCATGAAAGAGAGTAAATAGGAAAGCAAGAAAGGACCATAACTGGAACCATAAGGTTGAATCCAAAAATGCCTTGCACAGTGGAAAGGCAGGTCTCCTAGCACAAGGTAGCTGCTCTGAATTGTCCCATTTCTCCCCTCCCACTAAATGCCCCACACCCCATTCAGAGAGTCCCATGTGGCTCCAACTGATAATTTTAAATGAGTAATAGGATTTGAATTCATTCTTGCAACATTGCTTTAGAATAGAGAACATATATCAGTTATTTTAGGTTGCAATCGCATACCAACTTTCCCAAAAATAAGCACTGTTGCACTCTGGTGAATTTTAATAGATATGTATAGTATTGCACCAATAGTTCTATTAATTTTGTTTTAGTTTTATTTCTTTATTGTGTTTTTAGTTGTTTTATGTAAAAAAAAAGTCTCGAAGTAACTTAACAAGCTAAAATGTAAACAAGTAAAATAAATTAAAAGCCAAATAAAAGCAACACCAATGCTATATACACAGGGCTTTTTTTCAGCCAGAACTGAGTTCCACCACCTCTTCGGTGCGTTCCAGCTCCTCTTTGTAGCATACCAACAGCCCAGAGCTGTGTGTGGGCTGCATGTTGCTTGTGGCTTTGTGTCAGAGGTTGTGGGACAGTCTCCACCCAAAAAAAACCTCAACAACCTTGGCTCGCCCCTAGAAGAAGAATTCCTTCCGCCCCTATTTCTAGGGGGGGAAAGCACTGGCTATACCATTAATCATATCCATCAATGACTGTAGCCCTCTTGGTGTTCAGTCAAATGCAAGAAGGCTTAAATTTATCAGCTCAATCAGTAGAGCAGGAACTGCTGGTTCCCTCTTCCAACATCCCTGCGCACAGCATCTAAGCTTGTTCCTTTCCCAAACTTTCCTGAAGAGTCTGAAGGGGGCTTTTAAGAATGACTGAACGTGCTAAAAAGCTCCCTCACAATTGACAAACCCAGAACAGGGCTTCTCTGTAATATGTCAGGGCTGTGCTTAGCAATAGGCTTCTTAGCACGTTAGTATTTAAACTGAGTGATTCTTTTTGAAAATATTTCGGCCGAGCTAGTACTATAGTCCTTGTTCCTCATTCTGGTTTGCCTTTATAATTGCAGATGGTTATGCCTTCTCTCAAGACGAAAATGGGATTGTTTCACAATCGGAAGTAATAAGAGCCTACGATACTACAAAGCAAAGACCTGATGAGTGGTGAAGGACTATGACACTGAGCCCTAATACTTGCCATAGTATGGCAAAGTAATATATATTTCCTGGGTCTGCTAGCAAGGTCCAGCAACAGATTAGAGGAAGATGTGTGTTGTTACTCTTATTCCCTGAAGTTTGAGTTCACATACTGAGTAGACATAAGCACTGTGCAACTATACTGTAATACACCATCTCCAAATTTTTCAACAAGTGTTACTTGGATTTTGTAAGCAGAGATTGAAAATAGCTTTCAGCCTTTGCCAACTACTTATTTACAGTGATGCTGAATACGTAACGTTCCTATATGTATATCCGGGACATAATGAACAGCCAGATTACTCGACATAGCATACATTGACAACCATCGCCTTTGCAAAGGTTTGCGAGCGGTGAATTATTTAAAGTACCTAGCCTTTGATTTCAACAAGTGCTAAATAACAATTTTTAAATATTCATTTATGTGTTGAAGTAAGATTTCAAAGCAAGACATTTAAAGGTACACGTGTCAAACTAGCCTAAAAAGTTTGCCAAAGAATTTCCATATTTCTCATCTTAGTAATCATTTGCGGAGAAATTTTAAAGGGTGGCGACATCAAGTGTGATATAAGCATTGCATGCTTGAAACTCTGTACTTGAAAAGTTTTACAATAATGTGAACTTGATACTGTTTGCTTTGTATTGCATTGGTTTTTCAGATCTGTGGTCACTTTCACCTTTGGCCTTATACAAGCCTTTCATTCATGTTCATTTAACAGAAATGTGTACATTTAACACAGCAGCCATTTTCTATGTAAGGGGCATGTGTCTTTGAATTATAGACAAATGCTGGTCTGCCTTATATCCCTTCCTAAGGACCTGATCCAGGGAAACCTGTACACAGAAATGGGCTGTTTGCAAAAGTGTTTTGCTTCCCTGCCACCATCCCCAACATAGCACACTTTCATTTTAATGGGACTGGTTACCTGTAAGGCCAGACAGAAAGGAAAAGGTGGTGACTTGACTTCAGTTTCCTTTCTGACAAACAGATAGGAAAGAACCAGCCATGTTGCTCATTGTTCACACCTGGTGCCGGAGCACCATGCATGAATCCCATGTGAGTTTTCTTCCCACGCTTCTTTTGTGTTTATAGGACCCAAATCAAAATGTTGTATCATGCACACATGCAAATGCTTGCTCTTACTTCATTGGAGCGGTAGTGTACTTGAAAATGCTGGTTTTAATTCATACTTAAGTTGCCAGAGCAACTTGCTACAAACAAAGTGATTTATTTCGATGGGTTTCACAAGAACGAGGAACCAGAGTCATCAGTATTGCACTGCTTTCTGTTTGCACTACAAGACAGTTATTTAGTCTTGCTGTCAAATATATGTGTACAGTCCCAAATTTGATTTAAAGTAGACTATGCTGAAGTTTGAGGATTTTAACCAATATTTCTTTTTTTAGGTGTAGATCTTGAAAGGCATAAGATTTAAAACTGCTAATGAAAGCAAGGAAAGTAAACTAACAAAAAAGGTTTCATACTCTAATCAAGAATGTGAGATTTCAACTTCTCACCCCCCAAAATATTGTAATTCAGTATTTTTAAATAAGTTCGTCTAATCAGGATGAGAAACAGAATCTGATACAATACTGCAAATTAATATATGCTCTGCTGTGAAGCCATTTAAAAGCTGTTTCAGTATGTCTAATTTAAAATACATATTTTATATAGTAGGTTTCACCTCTGATTTGAGTGCACTGTACAACTGTTCTACCTGTAGAAAGACAAATATAAATATTCTTATAAATGAAATATTTGTATGCGATGGTCCAACTTTTGAAAAGCAAAGTTTCATCGAAACATTGTATTTATTAAATGACGTAGAACATTTTATATACTTGTGATACACAGTTGCACTCATTCATAATGGCAAGGACACTGTTCTTTTTCACGAGTGACATTTAAACAGAAAATAAAACTGAAGAAAAAAGGAGTCCAAAAGAGAAAAACCCTTGCTGAAAACAGCCTTGCTTCCCATCTCGCAGCCCAAAATTGCCTTCAGAAAAGCTACTTCAGGCATAGATAATGAATGAATCGGCAAGGAGGGCCAAATCACTTGACCTGGAGCACACACAAAAATTTGGGGCTTGTCCTTTCTCAGTGAGACGTCTCCTTCAACAGATTTCCCAAGTGAACGATTAAAAATGATAATCTTTTTAGAATTCTTAAGTACAATTCTAAGCAGTGCATATTTCCTTTTAGAATCAATGAATGAAGTCGATCCGTCGTGATTCAGCAGAAACGATGTGCTCATTCATATAACCTGTTCTTTGCTTCTGGCCCCATGCAGCCTCTTAGGGCATCTGAAAGCAGTAATCAGAAAAGAGTGTCTTCTCCATTCATTTCCCACACCTAGCCAAGCAGTCAGAATTGACATGCACCATGTAAATCGTGGGTGCTGGATGCAGGTGTGTCCCCTTCCTCCTCTCCCTGAAGCATGAAATGGCAGTTTGCATGCAAATGACGCAGGAGAATGATCTGCATGCAGATACCTATTTCAACGCACACGCAATCCAGTTACCTCAAACAGTTCTCCCTTGCTGGATCAAGGTGAAGGCATAGGTATCACATTAGCGATAGGTCAGGAAACTCTATGACCACCCTTATTTGCAAAACAATAGACACAATAGGTACTCATTTTGGCTGTCATTGCTGCCTAAAAGTAGACTGTTCTTAGCACATTTTCTTCATCATAGGATTTTAAACTCTCAGTGATTATGTTACGTCTTTTATTTTTTAAAAAAATAATGTTTAGTTTTCTAAGGAAGATGTAGGCTTATTCAGCTTATCTTGGCTATTCTGAATAACTGCTCCACATCTTAATTTTTCATTTTTGCCCTTCTGAATTAATCTTTGTTCTGATGTCATTTAACTTTTAAAAAATACTATTTCTCACACACTGGATGTCATATTTCTAATGGCAGTCATTATCACAATACCCGAAGATTGTGTGTTTGTTCTGTCTTTAATAGTTTGCTCCCCCCCCCCCCGATATTAAAATCTAAATAAAAACTTGGAATTCCTAAAGAACATAACACCCAATTTAAACAAAAGTCAGGACATACAATACATATGTTATTTGCAAACAAACACATTTCATAACAAAAGGATATATAAGTGGCTTATTATATTATAATATAGGAATATATTATAATATATATATATTTGGGACTACTGGTTGGTAAGCAAAATGTTTTAGTAAACAATTACTCTACTCAAGTTACAGTACTTTACTATAATGTACTTGTTTTGAAATTCTAAACTTTTACATTTCTCTTAATTAAATCCAGAAAGGAAGTTGTATGTTTTGTATGTATTAGGTGTATTGTGCAACAATTTCACGCTAATTTTTTTTAATAAAATCATTAATTGAATGAAAAGGTGCCATTCAGAGATCAACGCCTACATATAGGTATTATTTTAATTACTTGTGAGAATGTAGTAACCAGAACATCAGCTAATTGGAATCACTTTGAGAAGCCATAAGTGGACTTGTTTTTTCTTAGTATTAGATTTATTTTTGCAGAGAAATTTTGACAAATTTATAAGCAACTTTCTAGTTGTATAAAAATAGAGGAAATATTTAAACAAATGCAATGGTGAAAGATTCCTGTTGCACTGTCTCACATGGGAAGACATCTGTTTTCATCAATTAATTAATTTTGAATTGTTTGCTTAGAGTCTTGGACCATGTATTTAGCTCCCCTCTTTTTCTGCCCATTTATGTATTGTGCAAAAAACAGGTGTCGTTCTAGTAAGTTTTATCAATCTGTCTGCATGAGTTAAAACGTCACAGTGTGAATCTGAGCTGGTGCATGTCTGTGCTGTAAAGCTCATGATTTCTTTTTCCTTCGGTTCAAACATGCATCAAACCATGTGTGTATTGGTAAGCAAAAGCAAGTGTTGGATCAACAACTGAATTAACAACTTCTCTCTATTAGTACTGAATGTGAACTCGGAAAATCATACACAAGTTGACCAAGGGTAGCATTCCAAAATTTGTGCACAGCCCACTGAACTAATTGGACTACTCAAACAGTAAGAGAACAGTAAAAAGAGGCAATCGAGTCACTTTGCGTTTTATTGGTTGTTCCAACACAGACTTTTGCATCCCTTCAAATATTTTGTAACTACGAAACCGTGGCCCGAATGTGTAAAAGCAAAATCATGTTTCCGTGTTTTTTCTTGTTCTACAATTGAAGCCATAATACATGAATATTAGTTTTCTACTGCAACTTGATTTTCATGCTGTCTTGAAAGGCACTGTATCAAAAGACTGCATTCAAAGCAAAGTAGGACTTTCCAGCTCCACTGAACCATTACTGCTGAAACTGCTGTGGAATTTGTGAAGCTGCATGAGTGAAGAGATTTTGACTCCGTGTTTATGGTAGTTTTCCTCAGGTTTCGTTTTAAATGGATGTCAAATGCACTGTTTTATAACGTTATTAAATTTTAGTAATATATTCAGTTCTATGCAGTGTTACATGTCATTGGCCTTTTGTGAATGTGCATGTTTTGAACTGCAAATTTTAAATGTTTTGTCTTCTAATTGTTCAAAAATAAACCTTGCCATTAAATAAACTCTGAAGCGTTGTCCGCATCTTAAACGCAACCCTCTCCCAGAAGCACACTCCATTAGTCTGATTTTGAGCAATTAAAATCCTCTCGATAAAAGCTTAGTTTTGATGTCTCTTAGTTAACTAACGTGACATTGTGCAATTTTTACTAAATAATTAGAAACCTGAGATAGCATGGGCAGTAAGAATGCTTTATCAAAAACATTATTCAGTGAAGGCATTCATAGAAGAGTGTAAGTCTGTATAATGAAGACAAAAATTTTAAAATATAACACAGCTTGATAGCCAAATTACACAGGAATTATTACACAGGAACACTATTTGCCTAAGAATATGTAGACTTTTAAAAGCATGCAACATGAACATACCAGTGTAAAACAATCAGAAACCAACATTTAGAAGAGGTAAGAAAAAACAAGCTACAGCATTAAAAAGTCAGTGCCTGCTATAAAAGTAAAATACAAATGGATATATCTTCTAAATAAAAATGGTATGCATATTCATTAAGGATTTCCTTTAGGCAATGAAGAAAATGTAAGCAAAAAAAAAAATGAACTACAGTGTCTCCACAGTCCTACATTTGTGCAATAAAATGTAAACACTGGAGCTTATCCTGGCAATGAAATGCCCCTCCAGAAAGAAAGTTATTACTGGAGCTGCACAACAGAGAAACAGGTACCAAGTTTGAACAAAATTATCCGTCGGAACCATTCCTGGCTTTCTTGCATTCTTGAATAAGCTGATCATCAAGTGCTAATTCCAAATTCTACCAGTATGCAGTACAAGCCCCCCTGAAAACAGCAAACCATTTACTACAATTGATTGGTAACCGCAACTTGCTTTTGCCTGACAGGTCTAACGCACCCTGGAAGTTACAAGTGATTTAGCTGGTGTTCTGTTGAGATTTGTTTTATTATTATTCACATGTGCTTAAAGAATTGCAATGTTTGGCCAGTGTCCCAAGTCCACTCCACCCCAAGGCATTGCTCTGCTTACTGGGGACTGCTCTTGGAAGCCGAGCTCTATTATCTGGGCTCGCAGGGAATTCTCCATTTGCCCATTTCATGCTGTGCTCTGGGTACCACAGCAATTTTAAGAGCGTGGCTGCTGAAAGGAGCAGAGAACGCAGCAGTTGTTCAGCTGTCCAACAAGGAACAAACATCAACTTCCTGGTCAGAAGGAAGGTGGTAGGTCTCCTTTCCCCCCCCCCCAATTTTTTTTTATTCATTTTATAACACAAATAAAAAACACAGACAGAAAAGACAAACAATACAAATTCTTGTCATATCCTTATTTTTCCAAACATTGTTAAGTTGGTTTCCCCAAGTCCCACCTATCTGATTTTCATTTTACTTCATCTTTAGCAGTTTACATATACAGTGGTACCTCGGGTTAAGTACTTAATTCATTCCGGAGGTCCGTTCTTAACCTGAAACTGTCCTTAACCTGAAGCATCACTTTAGGTAATGGGGCCTCCTGCTGCCACCACGCTGCTGGAGCACAATTTCTATTCTTATCCTGAAGCAAAGTTCTTAACCTGAAGCACTATTTCTGGGTTAGCGGAGTCTGTAACCTGAAGCGTATGCAACCTGAAGCGTATGTAACCCGAGGTACCACTGTATCATAATTTCTAACCATCTTTTTTTAAAATTATACTTAAAATAACTTCACATTTTATCACTTACAAATAATACTATTTTAAAATACCCTATATTCTACTTCTAACCCTACAGCCTATAGCCACTTCCAACGCTATACTAAGGTTTAAATATTAACATATTTTTTCAAATATTACTTAAACTTCTTCCAGTCTTCTTCCACTGTCTCTTCTCTCTGGTCTCGGAGTCTCCCGGTCAGTTCGGCAAGTTCCATATAGTCCATCGTCTTCATGTGCCATTCTTCGATAGTTGGTAAAGCTTGTTTCTTCCAATTCTTCACTAATAATATTCTCGCAGCTGTTGTGGCATACAGGAAAAAAGTAACACCCTTTTTGGGGATTTCACCCCCCACTATACCAAGTAAAAAGGCTTCTGGTTTTTTAGTAAATGTGTTTTTCAACACTTTTTTCAATTCATTATAAATCCTTTCCCAGAAGTCCTTTACGTGGAAGGTGGTAGGTCTCCTGGACCAGCATCTGCATTGTATCTCTCACTGAGGGCAAGGAAGCGAGTTCATGAGTGGAACCCGCCCTGGAGGCCTCTCTGGCTGCCATCTTTGATTTGTCTCGAGAGATCTGCTGAGGGGAGCACCTACATCATGCCCAGCTTTGAAATGCCCTGCCTGGTTTCTCTGGAGATGGGCAGCCTTACCCCAAGTTCCTTAAGCAGCTGAATGAGGAGGTAGTTGGGGATCTAACCTGATGCTCCAATCAGGGATAAAGTGGATGGGGTGGTTCAGCTCATCCTCATCTTCGTCTTCGTCACCCCCTCATCCCAGCCACTCCTCTGAGGAGCCCTGGGAGGAAGTGCAGGCCATGATGAAGCCACATGATGGACAGCTTCTTAAAAAGCAGAGACATCACCTTGCCAACAAAGGTCCGTATAGTTAAAGCTATGGTTTTCCCCGTAGTGATGTATGGAAGTGAGAGCTGGACCATAAAGAAGGCTGATCACCGAAGAATGGATGCTTTTGAATTATGGTGCTGGATGAGACTCTTGAGAGTCCCATGGACTGCAAGAAGATCAAACCGATCCATTCTTTTAAAAATCAGCCCTGAGTGCTGACTGGAAGGACAGATCCTGAAGCTGAGGCTCCAATACTTTGGCCACCTCATGAGAAGACTCCCTGTAAAAGACCCTGATGTTGGGAAGGATGGAGGGCACAAGGAGGAGGGGACAACAGAGGACGAGATGGTTGGACAGTGTTCTCGAAGCTACCAGCATGAGTTTGACCAAACTGCAGGAGGCGGTGGAAGACAGGAGTGCCTGGCGTGCTCTGGTCCATGGGGTCACGAAGAGTCGGACATGACTAAACAACAAATATTCCCACAGAGCCAGGAAGAACCTCAAGGACCCTGGACATGAGCGAAGTAGGACCATTGCCCCCAAATAGGAGCCAACTCCTGAGGGCCAAGGTCCCTTCAGCCCCCCAATAAAATATTTGAGCCCCCCTCCCCAAGTTGATGGGCATTGCCATTCAAATGGTGTGTGTGTGCCATGTCATGTGATCAGTTATGTGAGGCAAGGCTTACCTGCCCCCCCCATATTTTATTCAGGCTGGCATCTGTGGTCCCTCAGGCCAGGCCCAATGACACAGGGGCCCAAAACGTCTCTTTCCTTCAGGCAGAAAGGAATAAGCAAAACAGGTGGGTCTGCACAGGCCTCCGAGTCCAAATTTGAGTCAGATAGGGAGAGGAGATGGCTGCCAGGTTATGAAACTTCTCTCTTTGTCCGTCTGTTATCTGACATCTGTCACCCAATATTGGGAATATTGCTTGCTTCTGCAGATACTCTGTCCCAGAATGACCGCGCATGTTCACATGACCACATGTGGAATGTTCTGCCAACTGTGTTACACCCTCTCCAACACATTGGCAAGGCTGTTTTGTTAATGTACCTGCATCTTAACAGGGTGAACTTAATGCTATACCACTGAATCCTCACAAGCTGTGTCTTAATATTTAGGATTGCAGTTGCTGAGTGACAATCATTAAACAAATCCTGAAATTCTCAATGCATTGTTCACCTGTGGACTTGGCCGTAGAAGATGCTTGAGAGCCATAGAAGATACCTGAGAGGATTTCCTTTTTACTTTTAAGTAAAAGCAAATCAAAAACCAAGCTGTTGTTATCTGAGAGCATTTTGCTGCTGCTCGGTTCATGACATTCCCAATATTGGGTGACAGATGTCAGATAACAGACGGACAAAGAGAGAAGTTTCATAACCTGGCAGCCATCTCCTCTCCATATCTGGCTCAAATTTGGACCCGGAGGCCTGTGCAACATTTCCAGTGTAATCCAAATCTGGGTTTATAAACAATATTCAAAGACCAGCTCAATTTAAGATACAAGGAACCTTTTCTTTTAGTGGTGGCATGCTCTGAATAGCAAATGTGATGTGGAGGACTTCACTGAAATTCAGCACGCTTTTCTGAAATTATCTTATGAACGTTCCAATGACTGGCATCCAACGAGTTTACAAATAAGCTTTGGGCGGGAAAGGTCACCTGACCCTCAGGGACAACTTTGCAGGTGATATCAGGAACTGCCGGAGGAAGGAAAGGCTGTAGGAATCCTCTTGGGGCACTGGGTTCCCCAGATCTACAATGGTGTATGTTTATTCTTGATCAGACTGAGGGCTAAAGGAAATGAGACATATTTGTTGGTTGGTTGGTTAAGCCAGGGATGGGGAAGTTTCTTGGCCCAGCAGGCCTCAGCTTTAAATCCCTCCAAAACCCACAGGCCAGCTCTGATACTTGTCCATCACCTGGTGTCATGAGGTGCCTGTTAAGTGGGAGGTCCTGCCCATCTATCAAAGTTGACCTGAGGGTGGGGTGGGGAGGGTCTGCTTTGACAGTGCATTCCCTTTGAAGCAGCACCCAGCAGGATTGAGTCCTCTCCTCACTAGCCAATGAGCAATGGGTTCAATCCTGCTAGCTGCAGGGGTCTGCATCATAGCAAGTTTCCCACAGGGGTGGAAAAAACCAACTGAACAAACAATATGGATAACCCCACATCCAGGTCATGCTCAGCCCTATATTTACACAAGGGGAAATGGAAATGCCAAACTACTTCAGGCACACTGAATTTAAGTAGCTAGAATCAAAAAATTGAAAAATCGTTATCAGTGCAGAAATGTATGTTTCACCCGTTTCCTGTTATGAGTGGTATTCAACTATGCTTCACTCACAGCAGACCTACGGAGATTAACAGGCCTAACTTAGTCATGTTCATTTATTTCACTGGGTCTACTTTGAGGAAAACCACCCTATATTTCTGCTTCTCCACCCCCATCGTTCAGCCCGGACACTGAGGTCCAGCGCCGAGGGCCTTCTGGCGGTTTCCTTACTCCAGGAAGTGGAGTTACAGGGAACCAGGCAGAGGGCCTTCTCGGTAGCGGCACCCGCCCTGTGGAACGCCCTCCCACCAGATATCAAGGAAATAAACAATGATCTGACTTTTAGAAGACATCTGAAGGCAACCCTGTTTAGGGAAGTTTTTAATGTTTGGTGTTTTATTGTGTTTTTAATATTCTGTTGGGAACCGCCCAGAGTGGCTGTGGAAACCCAGTCACATGGGCAGGGTATAAATAATAAATTTTTGTTGTTGTTGTTGTTGTTGTTGTTAGCATTAAAAACAGGAAATCATTGCTTTAATTGGCTACTCAACAGATTCAGAGGTGTATTCAAAAACACAACAGAACACAACAGCATTTGTGGTTGGACAAAACTCTGTCACATTTGTTATAACGGAGCTTGCTTCTACATATATTCTTAAATTAAAAACACATTGCTTTACCTGGGCTCCTTTGGGAGGAAAAGGCAGGATAGAAAATTTAAAAACAACAAAGATTTCTTAAAATTAAGATGCAGCACAAGAGATGGGAAACCTGCAGTTCTCCAGCTGTTGTTCAACTCCAACTCCCATAAGCCCCAGCCGGCCTGGCCAGTGGTCAGAGATGATGGGAGCTGCAGTCTAGGAACTTGGGGGGGGCAAAGGTCAGCCACCCCCAGTGTAAATAGTTTACACACCTGTTAATTTTGATTTCTGACCATTTTAAGTTGTGCAAAAGTTTTCATGTACTCTCAGCAGGCCAATAAATTCAGCAATCTTACAGGCCATTTTGCCAATTCAGAAATAGAAGCAATTGTAGGAAAGTAAACTAGTTATGCTAGTGGGAACCACTAGTGCAATGGGGGTTTCCCTCCTCCCCACAAGCTCCCTAAACATCTCTGTGGGGGTCAGGAGAACCCCCAAAACAGGTCACAAGGGGAGGAGAGGGGACATTGCTCCATCAGAGGAAGCATCTCTGCTGGCCTAATGGAACAGTCTCCCTAGGGAGACTCTGAATTCCACCCCATGTTTCCATTAATTCAAAACATAAACATATTGGACAACCAAAATATTGTTTCAGTCGTGGAGCGTTTTATTGGGAGAAAAACTGTGACTACAAAACACTGACAAGCTTGTCAATACATTTTAAGTTACAGTTCTTAAACATTATTTTAGATAGTGCGGATTTTACAAAAGAAAACTTTTATGTACCCAGCTTTGTCTTCCAAGTCACAGGACAAAAACTCAATAAATACACAAGGCTACTTCGGCATTTTAATGTTTTATACACTGCACATCTGTGAAATTACTGTATAGCTTTTAGATGTTATTACAACTTATTCTCCTGACTGTGAGAAATTTTGTACAAACTCTTAGTTAAAGCTTGCTTATTAGTGAAATACCCAGCAATCCTGTCACACGTGAAACAGTCCTAGCACAACGGTCTATGCTATCACACATTCAAAACAGTGCATCACTTTTTTCCTGGCCCAACAAATGTTGGCATTGGTTAGTGTCTTTAATTCAGTGTTAAGATACACTTTTTTTAAAAAATGGGGCTTATAGCCATTAATTTTCTTTCATTTTATAGCTTGTTCTTTTAGTGACATGATCTTCCAATATCTATGAATAAAACTATTCCCTTTATAATAAGTGAAACTAATTCTGGTGAATTTTTTTAAGATAAGCCTATATTTAAAACACACACAAAAAGCAGGGCATGATCCAGTCAGATATCCCACTATCTGGAACTGATATGTTTAAAGTTCATATCGAAACCATCACTAATGCTACCCATCGCCTAAAAAAATTATCCAAACAATGTGGTTGTTTAATGTCTTGTTTTCCTTGTATCTGCCAGAACTCTGTTCATATTAGATCACAAAAATCATAGAACTGTAGAGTTGGAAGGGATCCTGAGGATCATCTAATCCACCCCCTTGCAAGGCAGGAATGTGCAGCTTTACTCACACAATGACACACATTGGTCAGGTGACACTTTCTGAATGCAGATATGCTCCAAATTGACATCAGTTGAGAATGTGCATTTTATTCCAACAAGTCCAACATGTTTTAGACCAGTTACAGATAGGTAGCCGTGTTGGTCTGCCATAGTCAAAACAAAAAAATTCCTTCCAGTAGCACCTTAAAGACCAACTAAGTTAGTTCTTGGTATGAGCTTTCGTGTGCATGCACACTTCTTCAGATACACTGAAACAGAAGTTGCCAGATCCTTCTATGAGTAATACCCCTTCCCACCTTCTCACTATATAGAAGGATCTGGCAACTTCTGTTTCAGTGTATCTGAAGAAGTGTGCATGCACACGAAAGCTCATACCAAGAACTAACTTAGTTGGTCTTTAAGGTGCTACTGGAAGGAATTTTTATGTTTTAGACCAGTAAAGGTAAAGGGACCCCTGACCATTAGGACCAGTCATGGCCGACTCTGGGGTTGTGGCGCTCATCTCGCTTTATTGGCTGAGGGAGCCGGAGTACAGCTTCTGGGTCATGTGGCTAGCATGACTAAGCTGCTTCTGGCGAACCAGAGCAGCGCACGGAAACGCCGTTTACCTTCCCACCAGAGCGGTACCTATTTATCTACTTGCACTTTGACGTGCTTTCGAACTGCTACGTTGGCAGGAGCAGGGACTGAGCAACGGGAGCTCACCCCGTCGCGGGGATTCGAACCGCCGACCTTCTGATCGGCAAGTCCTAGTACCAAACGAAAATTCCTGCAATAATTGACACTTTTTCTAACGGGTAACTCACCCATTCACGTTTTTTTCAGTTCCGTAAGCAGAGAACACCACAATGAAAACCACGTAACACAGGAGTCCATTGTGCTTCTTAGCGAAAGCGCTGTTTCGAACGTTCGCTCGGCTCTGGCTAAGTTTCCGGAACGCTCTTCCCAGTTAGAGACGGCTCGGAGTCCAGAGGATAGGAGAAATATGGTCCTGACACCAAAAACCCAGAGGGCTGAGAGAGGCTGACGGAGTGGCCCATTTGCAAGCAGCCTGGCGTGTAAGGTGGAGGTGAAGGTGCCGCTGTGCAGATAGACTCTGGCCTGGCAAATGAAAACCTGCCGAGAGAGCCGGCTGTGCAACTTGAGCTGGCAGCAGAGCTAGATTGTCTCGATGGAGTCCTTAAGCTAGTCGAGGTCAGGATCATGGGCAAAGTCTCCATCTGGTAACTTCGGAGAGAAAACCGGATCGGCTGCGGCAGCGTTTGCTTCGGCCTTAAACACGTGCAGCAATAAACGGCGACAAAGGAGCCCACGAACAGGAAGGCGAGGAATATCGATCCGACGATCAGGAACGGCACATAGACTGGTTCTGAGCGAGACGGGAAAAATAAATTATGAACAGAATATAGCCAGGCTTTGTGCATTAGAAAATCATTGCTTATATTCTTCCGTTTTCGAACAAAGGGCTTCGCAAAGATGATGGCACAATAATCAGTCTTGATAGCATACCTGACACTAATTCTCTGGGTCACTCACTAATGGGTTGGAGCCAGACTAAATTAGTTCCACTTCGTTTCCAATCAAATCAATGGGACATAATTTAAGCTAAGATGAGCTTGTCTGATTGATTTTGATGATGCCTACGTTCAACGAACTGAGTCTGGATCCAACCCCAGCTAAAATTCTAACTGCAAGCATCTAAATTCTTCTTACTCAGATCTCAACCAATTCCTGCACCAATCCATTTTTTTTTCTAGTCAGCCTCTAATTTCCACACATGGAACAAAAATCTCATTGGACAAGTTGTTGTTTTTTTTAAAAAAGGTTTGCGATCAATGATTCCACCCTCTACTAGTATTCCCCAGTTAGTTCAAGCGATTCTAACCCTGTATTTCCATCCAGGAAACTTTCCCTACTTGAAAGTTGTTTGTTGTTAGAATAGTAACTATTTCCAACAATATTTTTTCCACTTGGCATATCTGAACCTACTTTGCTACAAAATGCTTCCTTTTTCTTTGCTCCCCAGTTCCTCTCCTTTCTGTTTAACCCTGAGAAAAACTTCTGTGGAATTCATAAGGCTATCTCACCGCTTGTGGTTATTATTTTTAGATGGTCCTAAGAAAAGTACTGCACTAGAGAACCTGGCATAATTCTCTTATTTTCAAGGGTGAAGGAAGTGCTTTTGGTTTCCAGCCATTTCCCCCTCCTTTATATGAAATGAACGTGTAAATTCCAAAACTGGAAATGTCTGAAACCAAAACGCTACAGCTCCAGAGCTCTAGAATGGCTTCTTATGAAAACAGTGAAATAAAGATTTTGTTGCAGAGTTAAGTCTACAGTCCTGACCACTGCTGAATTCAGTGGAACTGGTGAACGGAGCTGCAAACCTAGGCACACTTTAACTTGGGAATAAGTCCCAATGAATTCATAGGAAGTCAGAGGAAAGATGCCCCAAATTTGGCTGCAAATAATTTGCTGGATGTATTTGCAAACTTCTTCCATTTTTTTACAAGATGCAGAAAACGGGGCAGCAGGTGCACTGATTCGACACGAATCCTGACTCTGAAAGGGATAGTAGAGCAATTCTGCTCTTTTGAATGTTAAGGTTACAGCCTTGTACACAGTTACTTGTTATGGGAGCTTAGATCTGATGTCAATCTTTGTGATTTCAGTGAGGACTGTTCTATATTTTATTATTGTTTTGTGCTTGGGAGTGTCTTTTCAAATTAGGTGGGGCAATTGGGCTTTTTCCTACAAAACATCAACAATGTGCTTTGGGGGACATTGACAATACTAAGAACATAAGAAGAGCCTGCAGGATGAGGCCAATGGCCCACCTAGTCCAGCATCCTGTTCTCACAGTTGCCTGTAGGAAACCAGCTAGTAGTATTCGAACACAAGTGCCCTCTTCCCTCCTGTGGTTTCCAGCAACTGGTATCCACAATACCCATGACCTGAATACTTTCCTATTTACCCTGTGATCCAATTCTGAAGATCTAGGAAAACAGAAAGGAAAGATAAAAGTTGCAATAATGTTGTATTGCATCTTCTTTTACTGCAGTATATTTGGGGTGGGCTTTAAAGGGATTCTATTTTATTTTATTGAAGTTGCTTTCCTGGACCGGACAGCAGCAAAGTTTATGATGGCTTGAAGGTTTTCTAATCCAAGTACCGACTGCCCAAGATAGCAGCTTTGAAAGTAGTAAGTCCAAACAATGTACCTGAAGTAATATGTTTGTGTCCCATGAAAGGGCTGCTTTCTACCCCTTTTTAAAAGTCTAGGGAGTTAGAAAACTTCTCCCAAGCATCGCCCATGAGCTCTGCTATTTAACTGCAACTCTGATCCTTTCTCGGGGGATTAAAAGCATGAAATAGAAGGGGGAAAACGCTTGTCAGACTTTATATTTTTGAGGATTTACCAAGCCCACCTGCTTGGCTGGTGAATAACATTTTGAGCGCAATCATGTTCAAGTTTACTCAGAAGTCCCACTGTGTCCAATGGGGCATACTCCTCCGTAAATGCGCACAGAATTGCAGCCTTTGTCCCTTAATAACTGGTGAAAATAGCAGTGCCACACATGACCCCACATCTGATTCGGGGCAGATCCTGACCTCCTAGGATAGGTAGCAAATGCCCTTCACTTCTAGACAGAGTTTGACTTAAAGACATCCCCACTTAATAAAAAAAAACTTTTACAATAAATTCAGCTAATTAAACAGTCCTAAAATTTAGTTAAAGAAAGAATAGCTAAGCGCCAAGGACTATGCAATGTAGCGGCTTTCTAAAACACCACAGTGAGCTTTTTGCTAGAAAAAGGCGTCAGGGTTTTCTTAAGATTAAAGGTAACCCTGCAACAACTGCTAGAATGCTTTCCAGAAAGACAGGCGGATTTCAACGCTACCCAAACTCTCTTGGGAATAAAGTCCTGGGACTTCTGAGCAGCCACTCTCAGGGCTTGGCATGAAAAATAAATTTAGCCCAGCAATTTTCCTTTCATCAAGGCATGTGGTGAGAACCCATACAGGAGGAATACTTAAGGCTGCCAACCTGCGCCCACTTTCTTCGCACTAAGTTCCGCAGAAATTTATGCCCAAGGAAATACACGCATAAGCTGCCTGCTCTCCTAGGTGCTTGTGGTTCCACACAGCCTGAAGGGCAAAATCGAAACGGGCGGTTTGTAGTGGGATCCACAGGCGCCAGGGCAGGAGGACTGGACTGCGAGGAAATACGACAGCCATCTTCCACTATCTAAACGACTGCCCCATGGAGGACGGAGCAAGCTTGTTTTCTCCTGCTACTAACCAAGGACTTCAATTTACAAGAAAGGAGATTCCGACTAAACATTAGAAGTAACTTTCGGACAGTATGAGCCGTTTGACAGGAGAACGGCCTCTCTTGGGAGGTGGTGGGCTCTCCTTCCTTGAAGGTTTTTAAGCCGAGGTTGGACGGCCGCCTGTCATGGATGATCTAGTTGAAATTCTTGCATTGCAGAGGGCTGGACTAGACAACCCTCAGGGGTCCCTTCCAACTTTGCGATCCTAACATCACATTGATTCCTGCAATCACAGAGGGTTCGACTAGATGACTCTCAGGATCCCTGCATTTAGTCCTGCATTGCACGGGGGTGGACTAGATGATTATTATTATTAAATTTTATTTATACCTTGCCCTCCCCAGCCAAGACCAGGCTCAGGGCGGCTAACACCAGGTATAAAACAATTAATTGAAATACAACTTAAAAACAAGATTAAAACACAACATTAAAATGATGACTCTCAGGATCCCTTCCAACTCTGCATTTAGTCCTGCATTGCATGGGGGTGGACTAAATTATTATTATTATTATTATTATTATTATTATTATTATTATTAAATTTTATTTATACCCTGCCATCCCCAGCCAAGACTGGGCTCAGGGCGGCTAACACCAGGGATAAAACAATTAATTGAAATACAACTTAAAAACAAGATTAAAATACAACATTAAAATGATGATTTTCAGGATCTCTTCCAGCTCTGCATTTAGTCCTGATTTGCACGGGGGTGGACTAAATTATTATTATTATTATTATTATTATTATTATTATTATTAAATTTTATTTAATTTTATTGAAATACAACTTAAAATCAAGATTAAAACGCAACATTAAAATGATGACTCTCAGGATCCCTTCAATCTCTGCATTCAGTCCCGCATTGCCCGGGGGTGGGCTAGATGCCGCCCAGGGCGCCCTTTCCAACTCCGAGTCCGCGTTTCCACGCCACTGGGACCCGCTTCTTTCCCCCGCAACCCAACCCCACTCCTCCCTCCCTCCCCGGCCGGCACTCACGGGCGCTCCCGGCCGGCGGCTCCGCTTGCGCCGGGTCGTTGGTGCAGCCGCCCTGCTCGAGTCTGGCGCCGGCGTCGGCGCAGCAGTAGCGCAGGGCGCACGAGCCGCAGCAGATGGCGGCGTCGGGCGCGTCGAAGCGCTCGGGGCAGGCGAAGCCGGCCGAGTAGGCGCCGCGCGCGTCCACCCAGCCGTGGCAGTACTCGCCGCCGCCCAGCGCCGCCGCCGGGCCGCCCCACCGCCCGGCCAGGCAGCCCAGCGCCAGGCAGCGCAGCCACGCGCCCGGGCCCATGGCCGACCCTCGGGCGACTCCCGCTGCCCACCCCGAGGCGCCCCCTCAGGAGGGAGAAGGCGGGGACGGCGCTCCAGGCCGCCACCGCCGCCGGCCCCTCCTGCTGCTCCTCCTCTCCCCGCCGAAGCCTCTGGGCCACCGGCGTCGAGGCTCCCCCTTCCGAGGGCGCCTCAGGGATGGCTGTTTTCGCCTTGCCCTCCGGGGTACGTTAGAAGGGACCACGAGGGTCCTCTAGCCCAGTGGTTCCCAACCTGTTTTTTTTGGGGGGGGGCATGCCCCACCTAAGGATCTCTAAAATCCTGATTGACCCCCCCCAAAAAAAAAAACCAATAATGCTTATTGTTCAAAAAGTGAGCTCCTATTCAAATGGAGGAAGCCTAAAAGGCCATTAACTCTTGATAACTCATTCTGGAATTGCCCCCCTTAAAAATCAAATTGCCCCCTTAAAAATCAAATTGCCCCACGTTGGGACCACAGCTCTAGCCCCACCCATTCTATGCTAACTGTTATTATGATGATGGTTACATATATACCCCGCCTTTTTCCTTGACGGGCTCAAGGCGGTTTACTAATTATTAAGAGAAAAGAGATCAGCCCCGAGTGCTCACTGGAAGGACAGATCCTAAAGCTGAGGCTCCAATACTTTGGCCACCTCATGAGAAGAGAAGACGCCCAGGAAAAGACCCTGATGTTGGGAAAGATGGAGGGCACAAGGAGAAGGGGACGACAGAGGACGAGATGGTTGGATAGTGTTCTCGAAGCTACAAACATGAGTCTGACCAAACTGCGGGAGGCAGTGGAGGACAGGAGTGCCTGGCGTGCTCTGGTCCATGGGGCCACAATGAGTCGGATACGACTAAACAACAAACAACAACGACATGGATAATGATAACTTGAGGGTGTAATCACAATAAGTAAATGGCATTCTTTCCAGCCAGCCTTTTAAGCAGACCCAAGTGTGTGGGAGCGGCAAGAAGACCCATGGAGCCACCTGCTTCCCTTTCCCAAACAGGCCTTAAGGGCAGTGCAAGGGGGTGCAAAATAATAATAATTAATAATAACAACAACAAACAAACAAGGAATTGTCGCTATTGCCCAGGAGCAGTGCTGGATTTACTTATCCTCCAACGTGAAAATAGGAACGTCCTATTCCACCATCATCATACATTTATTTTTTATATCCCCGCCCATCTGGCTTGGTTACCCCAGCCACCCTGGGTGGCTTGCAACATATATAAAAGCATAATAAAACATGGAACATTTAAAGAACTTCCCTATATAGGGCTGCCTTCCTATGTCTTCTAAAGGTTGTATAGGTTACTTAACTCCTTGGCTTGGGGGGGCGCATAACTCCATACCCTCCAACAGTTCACCAATGAAAATAGGGACCTCCGATGGAAAAGCGTGTCATTCTGGGATCAAATCAGAAACCGGGATGGCTTCTGTAAATCTGGTGCTGTTTCTGGGTAATAGGGACACTTGGAGGGTCTGTAATATTGACAATGGTGCCCGCCTGATGCCCACCTGAGATGTGCTGGAACTGAGTTCCCATGAGTTTCAGCTGGGGGGGGGGGGAAACGTCTTGCTACCTACATAGAAAACTGTAACTGAGGGTGTAATCATTGTAAGTAAATGCAATTCTTTCCAGCTAGCCTTTAAGCAGGCCCAAGTGTGTGAGAGCTGTAACCAGGCCCACAGAGCCACTTGCTTCCCTGACCCAAGCATGTCTTTAGGGCAGTGCGAGGGGGCGCAGAATAATAATAATAAATAAAAACAGAATTGTCGTGAAAACAATAAAGCGGTGGTGTTTTGTCCTCGCTCAGGGCACTTGCCATGCCTCCCTCAGGCTGAAGCACCTGTGTCAGACCTGCCTAGAGGCACCTCATCCAAAACTGTTTTTGTAGCCATTTCTTTAAAAGTTTGGTACTGCCAAAATGGGAGGAAAATGGTTAAAAGAGGGGGAAGAATGATAATATCCAATTTTGCCTGTGAAAGGTCCCCTTGCAAAACATGTCCATAGGCCAAGGAGCGGGGATTGGCATGTGCACAGTATGTATGCATGCACAGTACAAACATGCGTTAGCTTGTTTGCAATGTGTCAAACAATTCATAGAATCATAACATTGTAGAGTTGGAAGGGACCCCAAGGGTCATCTAGTCCAACCCCCTGCAAGGCAGGAATCCCAGCTAAAGCTTCCATGACAGAAAGCCATCCAACCTCTGCTTAAAAACTTCAAAGGAAGGAGGCCCCAGGGGGAGAAATCCTAGCCAGAAGTCCATCAAAAACAAGTGGCCATTGTGGTGTCAAGCTTTGGTCAATGACATATCTTGCGATCCTTTTTTCTTATTTTTTTAACAGTGTCAGAAGACTCATGCATACCCTTCCCACTTGGAGCCTAATCCATGGTTATATTTGGCTTCTGAAATCTATGCAGACTGAGCCAACACTTAAAAAAAAAAGTGGTCTGAAGGACTAGAAACTTGCTTTAATAAAATTAATCTGCTAAACATGACACTTCATGAGTCTGATATTGCACAACAAACCCAGCAAGTTATGGAATCCATACAGCTTCAAGCATGACAGGCCATAAAGATAAATATTTAGGAAAGCCTATTTCTGTATGTTCCAGATAAATTGTGAATCAAGTCAAAAAGTGCCTAGGATGCTTATCACACAGTGGGAACCCTTGGATGAAAGCTCTCGGTGGTATCTGACAAGCTAAGCTGTCTTCCTCCTGACAAAGTTGATGTTCTGTTTACCTCAGTAAAAAGATGGAGTTAATTCTGAATGCCTGCCTGGTCTCTCTTCAGCTTTCTGTTGAGAAGAGGGGAGTAGAATAAGAAAAAAGAAAATATGCATATATTAGGAACTGGAGCAATGCAGACATTGTGGGGCCAACAATTAATTGCAATGGACAATCTCCCATTCTGCCCTTTCTCTACTTGTTCTCCAGTGCCTAAAACAAATCTATAGGACAGTTAGAAAGGGCAAGATGAGTAACTGAAACTTAATGATAATGCTAGTGTTTATAGGTATACAACAACCCACTGTCAAGATTGGTCTGTGGAAACAGACTCTTGCATAAAGGTTCTTTGCAAATCTGGGAAAGTAAATGAGGTAATGATTAAAATAAATTATTGGGGGAGGCAGGGGGGGATAAGGGGAAAAGCAAAAAGGAGATGCAAGCAGGAGTGTACTAATGCAAATTAACCTATTATATTTTGCAAGTCTAAGAGAGAACATCTTGTCCATTTTCTGTTTTGTTTTGTTTTGTCTTTCTTCCCTGATTTGGTCAATTATGACAGGAAATGTCCCAGTTGATTACTTTGGCTTCTTCTATATTTTCACTTTTAGAAATTCAATAGATTGGCATTATAATGTCATTCAGGTATAACTAATGATATTCATACTAATACAGATAATTAACAAATGCAGCTTTTGTGATAAAAGTCCAGTTGCCTGTATTCTCTTTTTAGCTTTGTATCTTCCAGTAACATAGGAGATTTCATAAGCATATTTCATCTCTCCCATCCTTCAAAAAGAGAATTTTCTTGGCATTTGAGATTGGTGATTTGCTTTGACAAATAATGGGTTACAACATACATACATAAAAATACATGCATACAGTCAAATCCAGCCTGAAAATTGCTCAGAAACCAAGAGTTAGAGCTGTTCTTTGTTTCCAATATGTTTTCTGTCTCCTGTTTGGCTGTCCCGGGTAATTGTCACATACAGCTGTCATACAAAGAGCAGTGTTGTTAACTGGGCAGGTTCCCAGTCACTTCCTATTTGCAATGCTCTGATGCTTACATTGCTATGCACTCTTGTCACAGTATTTCTTCTGTCATTGCATCTCCATAGATAAGCCTTTTGTAATAATGACTTAAGGGCTATTTGTCTCTTTCCAAGGCTCATGCCTAGTGATCCTGTTAAACCATTGAGAAGAGTATTGCAATATTAACAAAGCAAAGTATGACATATTTCAATTGGCCGATTTCCCCGTTCCATGCATTTTTAAAACAAGACATCTTTCCCACTTCTGCCAGCAACTCTGTCAGTCCATTTTAAGGCACGTTGAGTCAACGGCGAATTGTTTTGTCGTTTTATATGGATGTCCACCCCACGCCAAAGACTCAGATAGGGAACAAAGGAAAACAATGAAGTTCCATCACATTCACTGAAAATTCACCAGCCCACACAAGTAGGTCTTGTAAGACTTCCCAACGGCACTTAAGCCTGGATTTCGGCAGGTCTGTAGGGGGACGCCCTTGTTGGAACCTGATGTACACCAATTTATTGATACAGAATGCTCCGAACAAAAGCACCCCTCGATTTGCAAGTTAATAGAGTGGGAACTGAGCATTTTGCAAAAGGTAAAGTAAGATTGGGAAATCCTCTAAGAAGAGGGGTTGGTTTAATAAACTATATCACCCTCAGCATGACCAAGCACTGTGTCCAGTGGTGGCATTGTTATGCAGCCTAGATGATGCTGCATCTAAGTTGATACCTTCAAGCAGAACCACTATTGCACTGCCATCCTCTAGTCGCAGCAGTTTTCAACCTGTGGGTCACCAGATATTGGACTACAACTCCCATCATCCCTGAGCTCTGGCCTTGCTAGCTAGGGGTGATGGGAGTTGTAGTTCAACAACATCTGGGGACCCACAGTTTGAGAAAGGCTGCTAGTGCTTCCACACTTCTTGGAAATAAATTGTCTGCCTTGAACATGTATGTGTGGAGCAGAATAGGAGTACTCTGAGCATCAGCTAGAGTTGGGGTGAATACAGAGATGTGAGGACCTGGGGAAAGCTACTTTCCCCCAGTTCCCTGCCCCAACAGCATTCTAGAATGAATCAAGAACTAATGGACATACAGTACCAAGAAATCTGGGTCACCTGTGTCTCCACTAAACATTCTTGAGGAAAGGAGCAATAAGAGGACACTAGAGAAGAGAAAAATAAAGACAGCTATTATTGCCTGTTGAGTAGTTTTAGACTTTGTATTTAAGGGGTCA